GAAAACATTCAACCATCTCAATACAATTTATTTTATGATTGTGTATCTTCTTAGTCTTAGTTTATCTTTTTTTTTTTTTGTCCTGGTGTACTGGGGATTAAGCCCAGGGCTTTGTGCATGTTAAACAAGGACATATTGTTTGTGTTGCTACTGAACTGTATTGCAGTCTTCTTAGTCTTGTTTTGTATACATATTTCACATTTATAATTATTGTGTTCATACATTTTTCCTTTTAAAACATTGTATTTAATTACACAAATAAAATATACTATCACTCTCTGTAGTATTTTGATTTCTTACATTTACCTTCCAAAATTGTTAACTGCCTTATAGGTAACCACTACTATAAATTTGGATGTACCGCTATAGGATTTTCTAATTTTATTCCTATATAATATATATTTGTAGAAATAATATGGGCTTGGGGCTGGTGGTATATGTTAGTGGTAGAATGCTTGCTTGGCATGCCTGGGTTCAATTCTTCATAAAAAGAAATACGTGAATTTTACTTACATAGATATTTATTTATATGGTATCAGTTGACAAGGGTCTGCATGCATGCTTTTTTTAACCCAACAATATGTCCTAGAGAGCATTCCTTATTAGCATTTGCAGAACTGTCTTGGATGCATTTCTTTAAGTTACATTTTATTGGATATTAGGAAGGTATTATGGTCTATTTAACTGTTTCCCAATTGATGAACATTTACATTGTTTCCAAGTTTGAGGCTTACCAACAACAGTCTAATAAAAGTGCCTCTTGGGCACCTGTGTTTCTTCAGAGTTGATTTCTGACCTTTATTGGGTCATAGAATGTTCACATTTAAACTATTATTAGTTACAGTTACAGAACACTTTTATTTCCTATCAGTATATCAGAATGCCCCTTACCCACAGTATCACTTTTCAATACTATTAGGCCTGTATGTACTTATGTATATACATACATATGCATGTATGTATGTGGTCCTAGGAATTGAACCCAGGAACACTCTTCTGCTAAGCTACATCCCCAGCCATTTGTATTTTATTTTGAGACAGGGCCTTGTTAAGTTGACCAAGCTAGCCTGAAACACACTTGCCTCAGCTTTTTTTTTTTGTCTTTTTGAGACAGGGTCTCAGGCTGGCCTTGAGCTCACTTTGTAGCCCAGGGTGGTCTCAAACTCCCAACGATCCTCCTGCCTCAGCCTCCTGATCGCTGAGATTACAGGTGTGCGCCACCATGGCTGGCTTTGCCTCAGCCTCTTGAGTAGCTGGGGTTACAGGTGTGCACTGTCATACCCAGCTAGGCTTTTCAACATGAAGGGGCCATTATTTGTATGTCTTGATGCCAGGTATCTCTGAACCACCTGGGGTACATGCATGACTATCTCATCTGGTGGCATGGCACAGTCCCACCGGGTAAGATGCCAATGGGAACATGTTAAATCTTTATTAATCTGATGGATGAAATAATAGTCTCATTGCTTTCATTTTTGTTTCCTTGTTTACTTAGTGTGGCTGAGAATTGTTTTATATTTCCATTGGCCTTCCAGGTCTCTTTTACTTTGAATTAGCCATTTATATTTTTGTTTCTTTTGTAAGATTGATCTAAAGGACTTCTATAAATATCCTGAATATATATCCTTTGGATGTTGCATTTGTGGCTGGGCTTTTTTCAGCCTATACCTTTTAGTTTTACTTATTTTTTTTCATTATACAGAAGTTTAAAATTCTTAGGCAGGTGTGGTGGTACCTGCCTGTAATCTCAGCACTTGAGGAGGCTTAGGTAGGAGGATCGCTGTGAATTCAAGGCCAGCCTGGGCTACATAGTGAATTCAAGACCAGTCTAAATGACATAGTGAAATCCTGTTTTAAAAAAACTAAGCCAAAACAAAAGTTTAAAATTCTTATTTAGTCATTTTCTTTTCCTCATTCATTTATATTCCATCACTGTCCTTGGTCATAAACATACTCTATATTTTATTCTAGTATTTTTATATTTTTAAAATATAATGCAAGGTAAGGAAATAACTACTTTATCCTTTATGGTATTCATCTTTTTCCTACTGATTTGTAACATCACCTTTATTAAGTTTCTATATAAGCAAGGGTCTATTTTTGGACTCTATCCTGCTGCACTGATCTATTATCTTTTATTCAGATGCCAAACAATTAATATGCATATGTGGTAGATGATGGAGAAGTTTACTGTCACGTTTCTGTAGAAAATCAGGGCTATCTAGAAATTGGGGGAATCTGTGAAGAAGTGATATATGAGTTGCTTCTTTAAAAATTGGCAGAATTTCAGTAAGCAGAAATCAAAAAGACAGAAGTGGGGAATTAGGAATTTCATTTCATGTTCTGTGAATCATGGGTGATTCAAGTCCAGATTGTTTTGGGCCGTGACTGCACTGTCAGTGTAGCCGCCATATGGCAAATGATGGAAGTGGTGGAATCTAAATGAGCCAGAGGAAGGTGGATCTTGTCCTAGGGCGGCTAATTCAGGTGTGAATTAATAGGGAATGGGAAAGCATCCTTCCTACAAGAGATTTTTGAAGGAATAATCAGTAAAAGTTGATGGTTAATTGAAAGGGAGTTGAGGGAGAGAACTCAAAAGTTGAAAGTGATTATGATTTTGAGCCTGGGTGATTTCGGGAGAGGATAGAGCTTGACGTGTGAGAAGAAGCTGGTTTGCAGGAATAATAAAGACTTGATTTAGACATATTTCATTTTAAGGAGTGGTAAATGCACAGTCAGGTATGGTCTGACAGGTAGTTGGAGATAAGGAATTAGAGTTTAGGAAATGTAGACCCGAGAGAACAAAACTCCCCAAGGAAGGCAGAATTTAGAATATGGGTAGAAGGGTCAGTTTACCATAGGAGAGCCAGATGTAATGACACAGTACTGTAATCCCAGCATTTGGGAGGCTGAGCCAAAAGGATAGTGATTCAATGCTCCCATGGCAGTTTTAACAAATTTCAGGCCAGCCTGGACTACTGTCTTTTTTTTTTTTTTAAAGAGCAGAATATATTTATTGAGGAAAGGAAAGCTTCTGAGAGACAGAAGGGGGCCTGAGTGGATTGCCAAGGACCCCTGCCTTTTCTAGGGATTTTTTATACAGCAAAACCACAAGGTGATGTGGATCCAAGGTGGGAAACATGGAAACTTGTAAGGTGGGAATGAGGTGGGACAAAACTGTGGTCAGCCAATAAGATTACAAGCATAATTGCTCAGGTAAAATTGATTAAATCGGAATCAAATGGGGAAGTGAGTCACGTAGCAAGCGGACGTGAATACAGAACAGGGGCTTTTCCTGTAGGGGACTGGGTTAGTGACTCTTCCTGGCCTTTTCAGGGTGATCAGTACCTGTTTAAAGTATAAGTTCTAGGAAATTTCTGAGTTTGACATGTAAGTAGTGGGCAAAGACATAACATTCGAAGCATAAAAATTTGTTACTTAGATGAATCCCAATTCAGAGTCTGTGAAACAAAAGCAAACTCTTACCTCCATCCAGTGATCTTGATGGAAAACCTCCATATGATATCAGGGAAAGAAACTCCCGACCTGAAAGATATCTGGGACGAGTTCGTGTTCTCTAAAATTGAAGAATGAATTTTAGAAACAACGGAAGTTAAGAGCAGAATATATTTATTGAGGGAAAGAAAGCTGTTGTCTGAGTGAGAGACAAGGGGACACAAGTGGGTATCCTGGACTACTGTCTTTTAAAAAAAAGGAAGGGAGGGAGGGAGGGAAGGAAGGAAAGGAAAGAAAGAGGGAGAAAAGGAAAAGGAGAAATGACCACCTAATAAAGCTAGTGTTGGCATGTAAAGTTTTATTGAGTAATGAAGTTTTAAAGCTTTGAGGTAATCTAGTCCATTTTCTCATATTACATAGAAGAAACACGTGGTTAAGTGGACAAAGTGATGCCCAAAGTTACACGGTCAGTTGTGTAGGAATATTACTGATTATGCATTGGTACTGCTGCTCCTCTCATTTCTGTATATTACACTTACCTGTTTCTAGTATTGCTTTTACCAAGAACACATCTCTTCTGTCTTGCTGTATTGTTCTGTTCTTTGTATCTCAGGTGTGTGAAGACTTCTGGTAGGTTGGAGGGTACCTAAAGCAAGAAGCTCATGTATGCCTGTGGCAGCTTCTGCCACCATGTCAGAAATAGTTGATTGAAATGCCATTCATGGCCAGGCGTGGTGGCGCACGCCTGTAATCCCAGCACTTGGGAGGCTGAGACAGGCGGATCGTTGCAAGTTCAAGACCAGCCTGGGCTAGAAAGTGAGCTCAAGGCCAGCCTGAACTACATAGTAAGACCCTGTCTCAAAAAGACAAAAAAAAAAAAAAAAAGAAATACCATTCCTAAGCTTTACCTCATGAGAAACAGAGATGGAGGATTATGTACAGAACTAGAGAACTTCTACAGTTCTTACTTTCTTCCTTCTAGAACAGACTCATACCAGTAGTGGGTATCATTTATTTGATATTTATTTTGTATATAAATAATGCTTAGTGATTTATGTTATGTTACTTTCTTACAAAATCCCTTTGAAGGTAGGGAGTTACTAAAACATAAACTGATAGGATGATAAAACCCACACTATATAAATGAGGAAAATAATGCCCAGTGAGATTAGGTGGTTCAAGGAAATGTAAGCGGCAGAACCAGGGTTCAGACTCAAATGTACCTGACTCCAAAGTGCATGATCTTGATCCCTCTGCTGTGCTGACTTTCTTGGCATACCTACAAGGGATAGCTACTTTGAGAAGGGTTAACGGTGTCATCTAAGGTGAAGCCTTGCTCTATAGCCTGAAATTCACAAGTACTTGCACTATATAAATTCAGTTGTGGGTATTTTAGGACTAAAGTCTTATTTTAAAATACCCATATTGCTTGGATGCTTAAATCTATAAATAAGGCACTGAATGTTGGCACATGATACTTTCTTTTTCCCCTTCTGTATTATACTACTTGAATGGTGGATTCTGAAGTACTGTTTTCTTTCCAGAGAAACCATGCCAGATGGATCATCTGGATCGAATCCTACTGTCTGGTGTCTATAATGTACGTAAGGGAAAGACCCAGCTGCATAAGTGGGCTGAGCGCCTGGTTGTTCTCTGTGGTACCTGCCTTATCGTTTCCTCAGTGAAGGATTGTCAAACTGGAAAGATGCACATTTTGCCTCTCGTTGGGGGAAAGGTAAGTCTCACAAAGATGAATTCTTTTGTTTGATCATTAAGAAAATTAAGGCTTGGAATATAGCTCAGTGGCAGGGACTTCCCTAGCATATGCAAGGCCCCGAATTCAGTTTCTAGCAGTGAAGGGAAAAAAAGAAAGAAAATATCATGTAGCTTTTTATAGGTTTTTGCATGTTTTCAAACAAGCCTATCATTAAAGATTGTATCAGAGACTCTCTAAAAGGTTCAGAGGTTATCCATTTCTCCAAATCCTGCCAAAGAACAATCTGTTGTAGGCACCCCTGCTATGCATGAGATGCTCTTGCTGACAACACTAAGAGTAGACCAGGGGATGGGGGTGCTGCCATTAGAAACTGCCTTGGGAAACTAGAAGTAGCTGCCAGTACCCATCACCAAAATAGATTCTTTCCTGCTTCTTTTTTGTTTTCTTCCTCAGAATAAAATTCAGAGACTAAGGGTGCTCATGAGCCTCAACTTGGCAGCCAGGGAAGCATGCCACTTCTTACATTTGTCCTAAAGGAAAGGAGTTCATTTGTTCATTAGATAAACAGAGTTACAGAGGACCATAAACACATACATTGATATTTATAGAAAATCATAATTAGTGTGAATTTAAGAGGACTTTCCGACAAAATGACCTACTGAACTCACACTCTGAAACATCTAATCTGATCCAAATACACAGTAATATAGATGAAATACATGTATTGAAAAGGTAAAAATCTGAAAAGACGTAGTTAGGCTTAGAAGTGTAAAATAGTTAGTAGGTTTGAACCTATGGGCCTACTGGATAATGAGTTTGAAAGGTTGTCACAGCCCAGGAGTACAGCCCGTGTAAGTATCTGGGTCTAAAAGTTCTTTTTTTTTGGTACCAGGAATCAAACTCAGGACCTTGCGCTTGCTAGGCAGGCGCTGGCCGCTGAACTATGTCCTGGGCCCTAGTTCTGTGCTCCTGATGGGCAATCTGGGCCGGGCGTAATCTCCACTATCAAATACAAAGCAAGACCCCACCACTGCCAATATATGAAACCTGGTTCTTGTCTTGGAGACTGAAGGACAGTGTGAAGAAAGTAAAATTGCTTGAGAGGGAAGAGGTAAATGAGGACAAAGTTGGGGATTTGTGGCAAGGAAGCAGGAAATAGAGCAAGAAAAATGAACCTCCTATTTAAACAGCCTCTAAACTGAATTCCACAGAAACACAGAAAGTTTATTTTAGAGAAAATATCTATTCACAAAAATCAATAGGAAGATTAGTATACTTCACACTGAAATGAAAATAAACATCTTAAAAAGACTTAGGAATAAATGTGTTTAGGAATATCCAAGACAGAATAAAAGAACAAAAAGAAGAAAATTTTTTTTTGAGTAAGAAAAATTCTGAAAAAAGACTGCTGTATCCAGCTATGAAGAAGTGAATTAGAGGCCGGGCATGGTGGTGCACGCCTGTAATCCCAGCACTCGGGAGGCTGAGGCAGGAGGATCGTTGCCGAGTTTGAGGCCAGCCTGAACTGCATATCAAGACCCTGTCTCAAAAAGACAAAAAAAAAAAAAAGTGAATTAGAATATTAGAAATGAGCCAGGTGTGGTGGCGAATCCCTATAATCCTAGCACTTTGGAGGCCAAAACAGGATTGCTGTGAATTTGAGGCCATAATACTGTTACTAAAATTTAAACTTTAGTAAATGGATAGTTGGGTATGGTGGCTCCTGTCTACAACCCCAGCAGTCTGAGAGAGTGAGGCACAAGGATCCCAAGTTTAAGCCCAGCCAGGACAATTTAGTGTTTTATGTCTCACACTAAGAAGTAAAAAAGCTGGGGATGTAACTCAGTGTGAAGACCCTGGATTCAATCCCTAGTACTGCGGAAAAAAAACCCTCAAAAAACAAACAAACTTATTAAGTGGAAAAGACAGAGAGAATTGAGTAACAGTAAAGGAATTCTTGTCCATTCTTTCCTTCTCTTGCTAATAGAATTTTGCTCAGGCTGGCAGTATGCCCAGGAGCAAAAACTGTATCTCCCAGGGAAGGAGGAGAGAGAGAAGGGGAGGGGATGAGGACAAAAAAGGAATTACGTTACATTATGTCTATGTACCAACTCCTCATAAGGATTGTGGTCATGATATACTACAAACGTACTAACCAAAAAAGGTAAAACTTGAAGAAAAGATGTGTTTGGTACATGTACGCACTGCCCATAATGAATGTAATCATTATGTACTGCAAATATGAACTAATAAAAAAATTATTTAAAGAAAACACATCTCCCATCCTCCCTTGTATTGGCTAATGAGATATAACATAAGTTTCCGGGTGGGACTTTTAGAAAAGTGCTTTAAAATGGGGCAGGTATTGTGGTGCACACCTATAATCCAACAATCTGGAATGCTAAAGCTGGAAGATCCAAGTTTGATCCCAGTGTGGGCAATTTAATGACCTAATGAGATGCTGTCTCAAAATAAAAAATTTTAAGAAGAGCTGGACCTAAACTGCAGAGTGTGACTCTGTCTCAAAAAGACCAAAAACGCCCCCAAAACCTGGGGATGTATCTCAGTGTGAAGGCCATGGGTTCAGTTCCCAGTACTGGGGCAGGTGGAATGGAGGAAGACATGGATGTTTTGACTATTTGCCCTACTTTGCCTTCCTTTGATTCCCTGGGTGTTGGAGGTGGCACAGGTGCAAGGTGACTGAGTTGTCAAGCATGAGGCGAGTATGGCTGTTTGGAAAGAGGGAGCTGAGTTCTCGATGGCCTTACAGAGCTGCTGTACCAGGCCTGGAATGACTTCTGCATGTTTGTTCAGCTGTTGTTTATGGTTGGATGTAATTAACTGATGTGCTGAAGAATTTCATAGATAAAAATGCTAAGTATAGTGGTGCATGCCTGTACTAGGGATCAGAGATGGGGGATCACAAGTTTGAGGCCAGGCTGGGTAACCTAGCAAGACCTTGTCTCAAAAATTAAAGGCTTGGGGGTATAACTCAGTGGTAGAGCAGGTATGAGGCCCTGAGTTAATCCTCAGTACTCCCATCTCTACCCCACAGAAAAGATAAGTCTTTTAGAGGCTGTGGTATAAACCTAATAGGAATAGCAGAGAAGAGAAAGGACAAGCAATAAATGAAAAAATAATCATTGAATTTTTTTAAGAAATGCAGACAGATGTGAATGTCCAGATTAAAAGTATATTGAGTACTGACTAGGAGACATAAAAAAATAAATCTGTATGTTGATACATTGCAGAATATAAAGGACTGGAGCAAGTCATAAAAGCTTCCAGAGAAAAGCCAGATGCAGTGGTGTATGCCATGTCCCAGCTGCTTGGGAGGCTAAGGTAGGAGGATAGCTTGAGCCCCAAGAGTTTGAAGCCAGCCTGGACAGTGTGGCAAGACTGTCTCCAAATAACAATAGAATGCTTCTAGACAACACAACATTGAGAGAAAAAGGAGTCTGTAAAGGAATGGTGGACTTACAGCAGTTGTCCTATCAAAAATATGTCCTAGAAGATTGGAAAGTTGCTGAAAAAATGTCAACCTATATTTTATACCAGACAGATTATCTTACAAGAATCAAAGCAAAAATACAAAACTAAACTAAACAATCTCCCCTCCACATTTTTCTGTACAACAATTAAACTAACATTTTCGTTGAAAAACTACAGCTGGGTGTGGTAGTACATGCCTGTAGTCCCAGCACTTGGGAGGCTGAATGAAGTAGGATTGCTTCTGAGTTCAAGGCCAGCCTGGACTACATAATGAGATCCTGTCTCCAAAAAAAGAGCTACAGGTACACTCCCAAATCCACCGCCCCCTGAAAAAAAGAAGAAAAACAAAACAATAATGGAAAGTTAATTTAAGGAGAAAGAATGAGATACAAGAAACAATAATGAGTGCAGACACTGATAAAATGTGATGGCAAATTTAATAGTGATTATAAAATGTTTTAAAAATGCACATTTTATCTGAGACCATACTGTCCTGAATAAGAGTACAAAGAGTGCTGATGTACTCAATAAGTAAAGTATGATACTGTCTTGGGGTAGGATAGAAACACTAAGTAATTTTAAACTTTATTAGAAACATTGTTGAAGGTGAATGCACACATTTTAAAGGTAATCACCAGAGGAAAAAAGAAGAGAAAGCAGGAAGGAATGGGGAAAAAAGGACAAAATAATTAGCATGGTAAATTCACTCTGTAGTGATAGAGATAAATCCAAATTAATAATAATACATAATAATTGCAATTGTCAGATTTTTTATTTAAAGTCCTACTTGGTCTTTATAAAAGATGTACTTAAAAGAAGGTTGACATTAATGATGAGGAAAGGTTCACTAATCAAGTAACAAAAGAAAATTAGGCTATCTTGGCTTTCCTCAGGATATCCCATCCTGTTTCCTCCAGGGTATGCATTTATTTTGCTTTTTCCTCTTTGACTCTGCCTAAACTCACTCTGCAGAGCCAGTTTCTCTGTTACTTTTCACTTCTACTTTTTCAGTAAACTTTTCCACTACTTAAAGAAAAAAAGAAAATTGGTATGGTTGTATTTTACATCCACAAAACCTATGAATATATGTAACAAGCATTTGTATTCAGAATATATAAAGAACCTTTGTAACTAAGTAATAAAAAGGACAAATTACCCAGTGAGAAATGAGCAAAAGATTTGAACAATACCATTATAAAGAAGATAAACAGTTGTCAGATAATCACATATAAAGATCCTCAATATCATTAGTCATTAGAGAAATAAAAAAGAAAATCACAGTGGGATACTACATACCACTACAATGGCTAAAATTAAAAGACTTAAGAATACCAAGTTTGGCAAAGATGTGGATAAACTAGAACATTTGTATGTCTTTATGGGAAGGAAGTTACTGGAAAACAGTTTGTTCTTTTCTTTTAAAGTTAAACATGGTTATCAGATGACAGCAATTTTGCTTCTAGTTATTTACCACGACAAATGAACATAATGTTCTTATAAAAACTTACAAGTGAATATTCATTGCGGCTTTATGGTGACCTCAAATATAAACAGCCCAAGTGCTCATTAACTTGTGAATTGATCGATAAATTTAGTATATCCATACAATAGAATACTGCTTAGCAGTTAAAAGGAGTGAGTTAATGCCACACACAAGAACAAGGATAACCCTGGAAAGCATTATTGTGAGTGAAAATAGCCAGATCCAAAAGTCCATTTATTGTGTGATTTCATTATGTGACATTTAAGAAAAAAGCAAAAAACTATAGTTGATAGAAAATACATCACTAAAAATAAGGAAGGGATTATAGCTGGGTGTGGTAGCGCATGCCTGTAATGCCAGCACTGGGGAGGCTGAGGCAGGAGGATCATCGGGAGTTCAAGACCAGCCTGGGCTACAAAGTGAGCTCAAGGACAGCCTGAACTGCATAGTGAAACCCTGTCTCAAAAAAAAAAAAAAAAAGTAATAATAGGGAAGGGATTGACTACAAAGGGGCACAAGAGAAACTTGAGGGGGGTCATAGGATTATACTGTTCATTTATAAAATTCATGAGACAGTTCATTTAGAATCAGTGAATTTTAAAATCTGAATTTTGAGTCCCTAAAAAGACTTTATAGGAAAACGTATTTATAGGCATAAAGGGTTTCACTATAAAATGATAAAAGGAACATTTTACATTAATACTGAATAATGCCAAAATTGTACATATGTAACAGTATAGTCTCAACATATATAGTACAAAAATTAATTACAGAGAAGTTAACAGATTAATTTTTAGTTGTAAATTTATAACCCTCAATATTTGACAGTATCTGATTTTCTATAGTTTTCTGTGTGGAATATTTTATAATAAAATATTTAAAAGAAAAGATTATTCTAGAACATTATTTTAGTATGATTCTTTGTTTTGACACTCAATTATAGTGATTTACTAATAAAAAGATTAGGTTGTGAATATCACAATTGAACATTATGAAAATTATTCAATTTTAGTGAATCTTTTTAACACGATTCTTTTTTGCTCAAAGTATTTTTTCTTTCTGCCACTTGGTTCAGTTTTTAGTTGGCACCAGAAACCTAATGATTTATCAGTATAGCTTGTAAATTTCCAGCTGATTTGCCAAGATTCAACAGCTATGACATGCCAAAGTAAGATGCAAAAGATGTGAGTGGTTCCATAACTATAAAAAGACTACATCTTCATCAAGCTATATAGGTTGAGTTGTTGGTATTTGGGGGAGAGATGCTTTGAAAAGCTATTTTGGGGCTGTGAATCCCTACCACTTCCCCAAATAGGAATGGAGAAGGTTCTTGCTGCTTTTCTCAAGTCTAGTGAAAGACGTTTAAATGGGATGAAAGAGAACATGGTAAGTGTCCCGGCAGCGAAAGATACACAGGGTACTGGTGCCTTGGCTGCGAGCTGATGGGGACAGGGCAGAAGCACAGCTTATGGGTCGGGGTCAGTGTACTCCTTGGGTTTGTTAGTGTTTGTTAGTGCCTCATTGGCAGATGGGGGAAGGAGGAGAAAGGGGAGGGAGGCAGGCATTGGTGGGGAGTAGGGAGGGCCAAAAGGGAGGGGAAGGAGAGAGTGTATGCAGAGAGGGGGAGAGAAAGAGCCATTATTTGTGGGTGTGCCTTCTTTTAGATGTTCAGACTTACACAACTATCACCACACTAGAATTGATTGATTGATTGATTAATTGATCAGTAGTAGAGGTTGAACCCAGGGCCTCTGCAGTGAGCTACATCCCCAGCTTTTTATTTTTTATTTTGAGACAGAGGCTTGCTAAGCTTCCTAGGCTAGCCCCAAATTTGAGATCCTCCTGTCCGAGCCTCCTGAATGACTAGGACTAAGGTATGTGCCCCCACACCCTACTACCACAGTAATTTTTAGGACATTTTTATAAACAAGAAACCCTATCAGTTTATCCAGTTCCCTTACCAGCCCTGTGGTAACTTTGAATATCATTTTTTTCTCTGTAAATCTACCAATTCTGACACTTCACATAAATGGAATCATAAAATACATAGTTCTTTGTGACTGGCTTCTTAAGATTGTAGCACGTATCAGTACTTTGTTCCTGTTTATGACCAAATAGTATTCCATCTTATGGATAGGCCACATTTTGTGTATTCATTCACTGATAGGTATTTGGGTTGCTTCCACGTTTTGGCCATTATGAATAATGCTGGTATTAATGTTCACTGAGAAGTTCTTGTGTGGGTGTATGTTTTCATGTAAACGTGGGAGTGGAATTGCTAGGTCACATAGTGATTCTGTGTTTAACCTATTGAGGAACTTCCATGCTCTTTCCAGAGTGGCTATACCATTTTGCATTCTCACCAGTAGTGTGAGAGTTTTAGCTTCTCCACATCCTTCCAAGAATTTTTTTTTTTTTTTTTTTGGAAACAGGTTCTCCCTATAGAGCCTAGACTGGCATTGAATTTATGGTGATCTTCCTGCCCAGCCTCCCAAGTGCTGGGATTATAGGCATGCACCACTACACCTGGCTTTGCCAGGACTTACTATGCACACTTGTGTTTTTTATTTTAACTGTCTTACTAGATGTGAAGTGATACCTTATTGTGGTTTGGGTTTACATTTCTCTGATGGCTAATAACGTTAGTCATCATTTCATGGGTTTATTGGCCATATGTACATCTTCTTTGGAGAAATGTCCATCAGTTCTCTTGCCATTTCTAGAATTGGGTTATTTGCCTTGTCATCATATTTTGCTTCGGATTTCTGTTTAGTAGTTCGGTTTCCTCCCCTCCTCTCATTCAGATAGAAGAAGTGAAGCGACGGCAGCACTCCCTTGCATTCAGCTCAGCTGGAGCCCAAGCTCAGACCTATCATGTCAGCTTTGAGACTTTGGCGGAGTACCAAAGATGGCAACGGCAAGCATCTAAGGTGATAAGTGGTCAGACCTCCTAGTGTGGTCATAGGAACGCAGGATCCCAGTAGAAATGTACAGTAAGTCCCCAACTTCCGAATGAGTTCTATTCTGGGAGAACGTAAGTCAGATTCGTTCATAATCCTACAAAGTGAGTCTTATACAGTATACCTGTGAATCTAATGTACTACACCTGGAAATCGTATACCGTACAGCTGGGAATCATACACAGTACAGCTGGGAATCTTATACAGTACATCTTCAAAATTTGTAACCCGAATGTTCGTAAGTCGGGGACTTGCTGCATTTTGAAGCTGAACTTAGGCCTAAGACAGTGAATTATAATCACTAATTTCATTTCTAGGATTTTGTTAGCATATAATGACAAGTAATGGAATTCCATCCAGGTTTTATCATAGTACAATATGCTGTCAGTTTTTTCAGGTAATTTACCTTTATACTGTCTCTGTGAGGTAGGGCCTTGGAAGCAATTAAGGCATAAATGAGATTTGACCTTAAGAAGTTGAGATGCAGTGAGATTTCATGGCTTTCCTTCAGCCGTAGTACTCAGTGATTTATTGTTATTGTCTGGCTGGTAGCCCAGTGCTTCTTGGTAGGTACATAGTTGGAGCAGCCTTGATGAACCTCTGCAAATTGAAGTCAGTAATGGGACAGTGACAGAATTCTGTTACAAACCATTATTATATCTGCTGAGGATAATTAACCTTCCAGCATAATTTCTACTTTTTTAGCTGTTAAAGGTAAATTACTGTACAAGTGTACTGTGATCTCCAAATTCTCTCTTCGACATCTTTGCATAATTTTGCATAAAGCGTTGTTACAGTATAATGGCATGCTGTCAAGACACGGTGGCTTTTCCGGTAATAGATTGTTTAGATCCATTTTTTAATAATTCATATTTTATGAATATATTATACAAGTAAAAACTTAAAGGTTTTTGATTTATTGAATTTTGTTGTTGTGTTGATTATAAAATGTACTCTGAATAGAACTTGTTTCAATTTTAAGTAGCTATTTTTTTCTTCTGCCCTCTTAAAGAGAAGTTAATGTTTTTGTGCGTCTTTGGCATGCTCAGCAGTGTGGTGTGTGCTTGGTTATCGAGTTTCATGCTCAAAACAGATGAAGAAACTGCTGGTAGGCAGCAAGCCAGTGTGCTTATGGGAGCTTGTGTTTTCATATCACACTGTTTCAGAGTACTTTGTACAGTCACTTTGGTTCATCTTAGCATTGCTTCTTGGATGAAACCGTAACTTGCCATATTTTTAAAAAATTTTTTTTCTGCTTTTTTTTTTAAGACAGGGTCTCACTATGTAGTGCAGGCTGTCCTTGAACTCATTGTGTAGTCCAGGCTGGCCTTGAGCTAATGGCGATCCTCCTGCCTCAGCCTCCCAAGTGCTGGAATCACAGGCATGTGCCACCACTCCCAGCTACATCTTTATGATTTGTATTTTTTTTATCCTTCATTTGAAGAGATTTTGTAATTTATACCTTTTTAAAGCAGCATATGGTTTTTGGGAAAAGTGAAAATTAACTGGTTTTTATGAGTGAATATTTTGGGGCTAGGATGCAGCTCTGTGGTAATCACTTGTGTTTGCATGCACAAGGCCATGGATTCAACCCCCAGTACTACCACTGAAAAAAGAGGACTTATTTCTTAGTCAGTGCTTTTTTGTTGTAAATGTCGTTCTGACCTGTGCTAGGAGATAGACAGTTGTCAGAACTAGCTCAGAAGGCTCTTCTTTTTGACATTATTTAGGTGGTATCCCAGCGAATCAGTACTGTGGATCTCTCATGTTACAGCCTTGAGGAGGTTCCTGAACATCTCTTCTACAGTCAAGATATCACCTACCTCAATCTGCGACACAACTTCATGCAATTAGAAAGACCAGGGGGCCTCGACACACTCTACAAGTATGTGGAAAATAATTTCCAGACCAAATGTTGGAACCGAGTTGTAACTGTTACAGTTGTAACCATTGCAGTTGTCATGGTTTGTACCCTTAAGTGAGCAGGCTTACTGTATTATCCATTTTCCATTGCTACAACAACATAGCTGCATCTGGGTAACGTATAAGGCAAAGAGGCTGAAGTCCAAGATCATATGGTCCTGTTGGTTCAGCCTCTGGTAGGGGCCAGTTTGTCTGTATCGCATCATGGCAGATAACATCATGGTGGGAGCCCATGTGAGAGAGAGAGGTCACACAGGAGATGGGAAGCGAAGAGATTTAGGGATCGGACTTGCTCTTTTAGAACAGCCCATTTTCTTGGGCAGTAACTGCAGGAAACCAGCATTGATTCTGAGGGCAGCACCCGCAGTGGCCTGATTACTGTTCACCAAAGATCTACTACTTAGTCTCACTCAGGCTTCCAGCACATAAGTGAAACTTTGAGGGACAAACCACATCCAAACCATAGCACTTAGCAAAATATGTGTGTGTGTGTGTGTATAATTTTAGAAATTTTAGTGTATACATGCTTATCTGTATATAGATGTATGTATATATGTGTGCATGTGTGTGTATACATACTAAAATTTCTCTGTTTTGAAGTTAAATACACACAGTTCTTCCACATCCTTGTTACTTCCCCACCATCCCCAGTAACATAGATTGATGCAAATATTCTGTTATAGAGGCAACAAGGAGTTGTGGTCTGGAAGTCGTTTTCTATGGTTGAGAGTGAAGCATAGTAAATTGAGGGATTTAGCAGTAGAAAGTTGTTTTTTTCTTTAATGGAAAGTGTTTGGGTCAGAAGTATCACATTTAAATGACTTCAAGCAGACAAGCCTAATTTCAGGAATTCCCGAGCCAGGGCCTTGTTTTTCTTTTGTGTGTGCTCTTACTAACTCTGAGTCTTGTCACCTATGAAACTGCTCTCTTCCAGTAAAGGAACACCTTCATCCCTATTGGACTGTGTCCTACATATTTTGCTGTCTTCTTGTTAGAGTATGTTCTCCCATTCCTACCTGCCACTCAGCCCACCTCCTTCCGCTACCTATAAAAGGGTGGGTGAAAGCTGGTCATGGTGGTGCACACTTGTAGGCCGTAGCTACTTAGGAGGCTGAGGTGTGAGGGTCCCTTGAACCTGAGTTCAAGATAAGCCTACGTACGCATCACCGCCAGACCCCAACCCCCAAAAAGGGTGGGTGTGGCAGCACACATTTGTTATCCCAGCTACTCAGGAGGGTGAGGCAGGATTGCAAATTTCTGGAGAGCCTAGACAATCTAGTGAGATTATATCTCAAACTGAAAAATAAAAAAAAGGCCTAGGATAGTAGCTCAGTGGCAGGTGTGAGGCACTTGTTTTTAAACTGCAAAAAACAAAAACACAAAACAAAAGGATGGCAGTGACTAAATATGTGGTATAAACGACTGGGTTTCTAGTTGGGAAGGGAAAAAGTAGAAATTAAAGCATTCATAGTGTTTTAAATTACATGGTGGCTGGGTGTGGTAGCTGGGCACATACCTGTAATTCCAGCACTTGCAAGGCTGAGATAGGAGGATACTGCTGGGAATTTGAGGCCAGCCTGGGTTACAGAGTGAGTTTAAGGGAAGCCTGAACTACATACTGAGTCCCTGTCTCAAAAAACAAACAGGAAAATATTACATGGTGATTAAAAAAAGATAATTCACAGCCAAGCATGGTGGTGCAAACCAGTAATCCCTAACACTCTGGGAGTCTGAGGCAGAAGGATCACATTGCCAGTTTGAACTGAGCCTGGGCAATTTAGTGACGTGGTGAGACCCTGTTTCAAAAAAAAAAAAAGGGGGGTGGGGAGGGATAGGGATGTAGCTCATTGCAAAGGCCCTGGGTTTAATTTCAGTTATTGCCAAAAGAAGGATATAATATGCATTAAAATGACATATTTTACATTTTTTACTTAATAGCTTATAACTCTAGAATAATTTCCAGAAATAGATTTTATCTCATCTGATGTGTTTCAGAAATATTTTAAAAATATAAACCTATATTTCGTTGTGATATATTTTAATGATATTTGTTTATAAAAATCAAAACAAGCTATAATGTTAAGGAAGTCAGCTTGCAGTATTTCCTTCTAGGACTGGATCAGAAATTCTGAAGTCAAGGCAGCAGGTCAGAGGAATAATCAGTAATGAAGGTCAGGTCATCTGGAGATCAAACATTGAGAATTTGGTTGAGGAACATCTGAGTCAAGTACCAAGGGTTCACAGCTAGAAGCTTGTGATAGGTCATAGAGAACAACACCCCAGCCTTACCACCTACATTGTATAATAACAAAGTTTGATACTCACATACTTCCAGAGTGACCCCCGTGGACCTACTTTATGACAATACCATCTCTGTTTAAGATAGTGTAAATACTTTTACTTCTACAAACAAAACAGAAGCACTAAAAATGACCATTTTATATTGTATATCAGACCATATCACAGTAAAACATTGTCACATATGTGTTTTTAGGCTCAACTAGTCCATTCATTTTTTTGCATTCGTTTTTAAGAGACTTTTGAGCCAACATAACTTGAGTGTGATAAAAGAAGTTGCTTCTAAGGGGGTTTGATCCATTATTTGTTAGCCATGCCTTTGTATGTGTTGATTAAGTTTTGTGAACACCTTTGTATATTACATACTTGTAAAAACTTAGTAACAAAAGATTTCAAGTATATCAGGTATGACTTGATAAAAAAAACTTTACCCACATGAGCTGTTCTTCAGGATTTTCTGCCATTTGAGGGAGAGGAGAACTGCCAACACTAGAGCTGGTCTGCTTGATGGCATGGACTGTGCATTAGTCCCCTTGGTAGCCTCTGTGCTCACACAATATTTGGCACATAGTGATATTTATGGAACAAATGGAAACAGATCACTTAAAATAGATCATGAAAGGCCATTGATGTCTCTTGTAAAGATACGTAACAGATTATCGACTCAGTATTTATATTTGTCTTTGCTCTTTAGATTTTCTCAACTGAAAGGCCTGAACTTGTCCCACAATAAACTTGGGTTGTTTCCAGTATTGCTATGTGAAATTTCTACCCTGACTGAGCTCAACCTTTCCTGTAATGGATTTCATGACCTGCCAAGTCAGATTGGCAACCTGCTAAAGTAAGTATCTAACTTTTACTAGATTTCTCTTTTCTCTTGCAGAATAGTTGTTTGACATTTAGATTAAAGGTAGTGTCCTGAGCTTTTGCAGTAAGATAAATCACTAATTTTAGAATTCTAGTTAGCAGCGGTGTATGCTTCCTGCAGTGACCAGTGCCACCATGTCAGCAGCAGAGATCCTGATTCAAATGTTTTTTTTCTTTTTCTTTTCCTGATTCTAATGTTGAAAGTTATCTGTGTCATTTATTAAGTCTGCATAGGTCAAGAGTTACAACATTTTACCTTTTTGGAATTGATGATTAGTGACAAAGTCAAAATCTGTAACTGTAGTTCTATTTATTTAAAAGAAACCTTTCATAAAGTAGACCTTTTCTCTCCCTTCAGCCTTCAAACACTCTGTCTTGATGGCAACTTTCTGAATACTTTACCTGAAGAATTGGGAAATCTGCAACAGCTTTCTTCTTTGGGAATTTCCTTCAACAACTTTAGTTACATCCCTGGTGTTTATGAGAAACTCACAATGTTAGATAAAGTGGTTATGGCAGGAAATTGTCTGGAAGTCTTGGACCTAGGGGTGCTGAGCCGGATGAGCCATATCAAGCATGTGGATTTAAGGTGAGGCCATTCTTTACTACAGCTTCCTTTAGTTTGACGCTGATGGACCTTTATGTCTGCTCTTTATAAAGACTTAAAAACATTAGGATTTTAGGGCTGGGATGTAGCTCAGTGGCAGAGAGCAAGGCTAACAGGTGTGAGGCCCTGGGTTGATTCCCTAGTATGGCAAGAATAAAAAAGATTTTGGAGCCGTGTAGAATGTTTTAAAAGCTGCAGTAAAACTTCATTTGTCATGTACTAGAAGAGAGACTAAGGATCAGGTAGGTGTGCCGCATGGTACAGACCATCAAATTGCCTTTGACGGAGGTTGTTCTGACTTACCTTTCCAGCAGCATTTTATGAGAATTTGTTTCCTCACATCCCTGTCTGTGTTGGGTTTTAGTTGTCTTTTTCCTTATTGTTAGTAGGAGGTATAAATAGTTTTTATTGTTTGAATTGACATTTATTATGAGTAATTAAGGATGAGCATCTGTTTGTATGTGTATTATTAGTAGTTTGTAGTTTTCCATAAATGACTATTTTTCTGTTGAGTCATGAGTATTCTTCTTGGTAACATTGATTATAATTGAAATGGTGAAGGTTTCATTAAGAAATTTGCAGAAGAATCTCATTTTCTAGTCATAATAAGGTGGTAGAAGACACTTATTGAATGTTACAGGAAGCCATTAATGTGCCTTGTAAAGAAATAGTAAGAGATTTCTTGGAATATAGGAAAATGAGAACAGGTCTGTGTGCATCAAGTAGTTTATAGAGCTTGCCTTTGAGCCATTCTATGTATGGACAGAGTAGCTTCTTCTCCATTAGTGTCATATGAGTCTTAGCACTGGTGACGGGAGGAAGGATATCTGACTCCTCTCATGACTGCTTACCTGCCCATGCACCCACCCAGAAGCATGCCCCTCTTTTTTGTGCTTCACTGCCACCTACCCTTACTGGGTGTTTGGATATAACTGTTTACTGTTTTGTGGCTATCCCCCCACCACACTTCTAAACTGGGAATTGAAATCAAACCCAGGGCTTTTGTACAAGCTAGGCAAGCACTCTATCACTAAGTCACATCCCTAGCTCTTTCTTTTTTTTTTTTTTTTTTTTTCCTGAGACAGAGTGTCACTAAGCTACCCAGGCTGGCCTCAAACTAGCAGGCCTCCTGCTTCAGTCTCCCAGGTAGCTGGGATTGCAGACATGTGTCACCACCCCCAGATTTTTCTTGTTTATTTAATTTGTAAATGTATTTGCCACCCTGGATTGTCTAACTTAGTTACACCTTGAATTGTTTGTTTATGAACCGTTTGTGGACTATAAACAACTTTCATTTTTGGGTTTTTTTTTTTTTTTTTTTTTTTTTTTTTGAGACAGGGTTTTGCTGCACAGTTCAGGCTGGCCTTGAACTCCATTTTTAGTCTAGGCTAGCCTCAAACTTGCAGTGACCCTCCTGTCTTAGCTTCCCTAGTGCTGGGGTTACAGGCATGCGCCACCATGCCCAGCCCACGTCTTTAAAATTAGGCAAGTAGTGAAATTCTTAAGTTGTTTAGGAAAAAGAGAAGGGGGTCATATCTCTCACATTTAATAAACACACTAAATAGAATTATTTCTAATTATTTCTTTATGTCTGAATATTAAGGATGAATCACTTGAAAACCTTGGTTTTTGAAAATCTGGAAGGAAATAAATATGTCACACACATGGATCTGAGGGACAATCAGCTGACTGACTTGGATCTTAGCTCCTTATGTAGCTTGGAGCAGCTGCATTGTGAGCGGAACCAGCTGAGGGAGCTGACACTCAGTGGCTTCTCCCTGCGAACTCTCTACGCCAGTTCAAACAGTGAGTTCTCTTACAACCTGTTTCTTTTTCTTTTTCTTTTTTTTCTCTTTTAGCTCTAGTCTGAGCTTTCTAAGAATAATGGCATTTGTGGTCCTTTGCTGCTGCTTTGTAAAATGGAGTTTGTTACTCACTGAGGTTTAGCTTTATCTCTTAACTTTGCTGTCAGTATTTAAGTGGCTGAGGTATGTGTTAAAAGATAAGGCACAATACTTGGAGATTCATTAAATGATCACAAGAGGCATTATGCAAAATATGCCCAAAACAGAGTATCGCTACTACTCTAAAACAGAGGTTGGCAAACTATGGCCTAAGGTTTAAACCTGCCCGACTCTCTTTTTCATTACATAATGAATGGTCTTTACATTGTTATTGTTTTGTTTTGTTTCTGGTTTTGAGACAAGGTTTTGCTATGTAGCCCAGACTGGCCTTGAACTCACTATGTAGCCCAGGCTGGCCTCAGACTCATGGTGATCCTCCTGCCCCAGTCTTTCGGGTTCTGGGATTAGAGGCGCCACCACTCCCAGCATCTCTACACTTTGTTTTTTTGAGGCAGGGTCTTGCCATGTAGTTTAGGCTGGCCTGGAACTCGCCATGTAGCTAGGCTGGCCTCAAACTCAAGACCATCCTCCTGCTTCAGCTTCCCGAGTGTTGGGATTACAGGTGTGTACCACCATAACTGGCTTCTCCACACTTTTTAATGGTTGGTTTAAAAACAAAAAACGATTTCTTGAGACATGGAAATTCTACACTCATGAAGTTTTATTGAACACAGCCTCAGTGATAGGTGTACATATTGTTTACACGTTATTACTTCTACATTAAAGTGGCAGAATCAAGTAGTAGAGAAACTGTATTATGATTTACAAAGCTTGAAATAGTTACTGTTTAGCTTTTTACAGAAAAAGTTTGCCAATTCCTGGTCTAGAAGCTTGTGCTGTCCTAGTTTAGAGAAAGAAATCCCTCATTTCAGTAGGGATTTACTCCCAGAATATTTATCAATAGAGTCTTTTATTTGTTGAGGCCATCCTTATGGGAAGTGCTTCTTTACCATTGAAGTTACACTTACTTTTTCTGTGTTTAGAGAAGGAAAGGATGAAGTCTTGTCTCAAACTAAGAAATAAAAAGGGTTGGCAGTGTAGCTCAGTGGTAGAATGCTCCTAGGTTCAGTACCTAGTACCATTTTAAAAAAAGAAAGGGGGGAACTATAGTTTTATCAAGTATCAGAAAAAGGCGTATTTAAATAATACTACTTTATACTCATCAAATAAAAAAAGCTGTGTGTAACCAAAGATAAGGAGAAACATGTTTTGGAGCCATCACATGTTGGCAGTGAAAAGGTTGAACATAAAACTATCTCAGAGAGCAATGTGACCATGCTAGAGAAACTGAAGATCCACGTGAACCTGGCTTGGAATATATCCCAGAGAACAGAGAGATGTTATAGTGTAAGAGAAAATAGGGCTGTCAGTAGGAAAATAAATAAATCAGTTGTGGCTTATTTATGCAGTGGAATATTGCACAGCAGTGAAAATGAATATACTACCTTTTGTGGATTGATGTGCATAAATCTCAGAAACACTTCTTAACACGAATGTGTGTGTGTGTGTGTGTGTGTGTGTGTATAATGATAGGTATCAAGATTTAAAACACAGAAATACTGTTTTCTTACCTGTAAGTATGTATAAAGCATGAAAGAATCTGTGGGAATGAAAAACCCTATTCACTATGATCACCTCTTGTTACATATAGTATTTTAATTCTGAAAAAAGGAAAATATATATCAGAATATACATTTGTTAAAAGTTACTTGATGGGTGAGTGTTCATTTTATTTGCTTTTCTGTATCTGAAGAATATATTATTAGGGTAAAAGAAAATTAATGCCTAGAGTTTTCATTACCTCTTATGTTATAGAAACTTCAGATTGTGGCTTAGATTAGTTGCTTGGGTAAGTAGAGGGTCACAAGATGAGTATTTTTTTTTTTTTTTTGGTTTTTCTCTGGTACCGGGAACCAAACTCACGACCTTGCGCTTGCCAGGCAGGCGCTTTTGCCACTGAGCTAAATCCCCAGCCCCACACAGGATGAATATTGACTTGTGCTTTGTATGATACTGTGACATGGCAGTAGGTCCTTGCCATGGAGAAATTCCATCGGACCCATCTATTTCTTTAATCTAGAAAGTCTGCATGCCTGGCCCTACTGGAAAAGACTTCATTAAAACACAGGCAGTTATTGTTGGTCACTGAGATTTTATCATAGCAGTGTTCTAAACAGGGCTTGTTTGAGGTTAGCTAGTCTATTTGCAGATTTTTTTTTTTTTTTTAAGTCACTGGGCTTTGAACTTTACCCTGAGCTACATCCCAATCTTTTTTTAAAAATTGTTTTTAATTTTTGAAACAGGGCCTTGCTGAAATCTTCCAAGGTGCCTAGGCTGGGTTCAGTCTTGTGATTTTCTTGCCTCAGCCTCTCAGAGTGTGCCACCACACCCAACTTGCAGAATCTGCAACTTGGAACAATTCACATAAACAGTTTTAGTTTTGATGCCTCAAGGTAAAGAACACAGTTTTACAGAAGAAATTATCCAGAGGATCATTTAATATAGGAAAAGGCACTCACCTTTACTCTTCATCAGGGATATACTGATTGAAACCTCCAGGAATTGCCACCACATACCCACCAGGGTGACTACAGTGACGAAGACTGGCAGCTGGTGGAAGTGTAATTAGTGCAATCACTTTAGAAACTCCTAAGCTCATTCCCAACATAAGTGCTTATATTAATTCACGAAGACATGGACTGAAAAACATTCATGAAACACTGTTCATAGTCACCCCAAATTAGAAAACACTAAATGTCTGTCACCTCTAAACTGGATAAACAGAGTGGCATGTTCACAACTTTCTACAGACATGAGAATGAAGTATAATCATATGCAATGATGTGAATAGATACCACAAGCATACTGTGGAGTGAATGAAGCCAGACAAACTTACATATCCTGTGTGCATTTTATTTTTGTAGATAAGCAAAAGCCATCTGTAGAATTCAGAGTCAGGATAATTAATGTAACCCTCATAGGACAGTGACTAGAAAGAAGGTAAGAGGTTGCTTCTGGGAGTTGGTAACATTTCTGTTTCCTTATCTGCCTGTTGCTTCCACCGATGTGTTCAGCTTATGGAAATTCATTGATTGGTACATAAATACATACAGATTGTTACAAAAATACAGAATTGTTATACACCAATTTATTTTTCAAGACAGATCAGTATCAGTTAGCCAAAGTGAGTTGTCCAGTAGTTTTATGTTTAGTCATTTGAGTCAGTTTTTCTCTTATGACTTCATAAGCTACCTTTTCCTTGTTTGTTCAGTTGCTTTGTTCTTTGGAGACTGTCACTAATACCTGTTCATTTTTCTCCAGGGCTAACAGCAGTGAATGTCTACCCTGTTCCCAATTTACTCACTTCCCTGGAACTCTCCCGGTGAGTGTGTCTCATGAGGGTGATGCTTGTTGGATCTTAAGAGCTAGATATTAATTGTTTGGCAGTTTTGAAGTACAAGAAATCTAAATATATTGAAATATTTGGATAACCTGGAGAAAGGTAAAGGATGAACTGGAGAAATAAACCTAATAGCTCTGTAGTTAAAAGAAGGACTTTCTTGGAACGGAAAGGTACCTATAAATTATCCCTTCCAAAAGATTGTGGGTTTAGAAGGAGGCCTATCAGAATGGTGGTGAACTGAGCTGTTTGTATCATGGCAAGCTCTGGAAGGTTTGCCATCCCCGAACTATCATCTTTATACTAGTGATTTGCTTTTTTTTTGGTTGAACTTAGGTAATTCTTTTGTGGGTGTGTATGTGGGGGGCTTGAACCCAGAAAGTGCTGAGCTATATCCCCAGCTTTTTCATTTGGAGACAGAGTCTTGCTAAATTTCCCAGTTTGGCCCCAAACTTGCTATATTCTTGCCTCAGCCTTCTCAGCTGCTGGGATTACAAGCAGATGGCACCACTACATAGTAGCTTTACATTTTTAAAATTCTATTTTATTTGTTTATTTTTATATTTTCATAACTGTTAGCTTGATTTTTTGGAGAGATATTAATTATAGTCAGGACTTTATTACTTTTCTTGGTGATTAGGAATAAATAAATGAAGTTCATTATATACTGTTACTCATTCATTTTGAAGCTGTGTTAGGCATTCAACATTCAGTGGTTGAGTTTTATAGTCTGCTGGAGAGATCAACATTCAGACAAGCAGTTACAGGGTGGCATCATAAATGCTGTGAGTTAGGGCCCAGGATGTAGCTCAGTGGCACAAGCGCCTACCTGGCAAGTGCAAGGCTCTGAGTTCGATTCCTAGTACCAAAAAATAATAAAATAAAATGAAATAAATGCTGTGAGTAGAGAGTCCTTAAAGCAGTCAAGTAGCAGTGGGCAGGGTTGTGTATGATCAGGTTTGTTGTGATAGGTAAATGAGCTATTTGGTACAAAATATATAATATCGGGCCTGGCATATAATAGTCTTTCCAACTAAGTTTCTTTTTTAGTTACTTCATTATCATTATTATTAAGCTGTCATTTTAGATTCCTTTTATCTATTTCTTTCTGTCATATCTTAGCAAAATCCCAATACTGGTCATTACTAGCATTTTACCTTTTCCACTGAGCTTGATCATTGCTGAAGAAAATCACATCCATTTGGCACCAGTAAAATCAGTTTCCAACCTCATCTGAGGCTTATTGTTTTTTTCTTGTCAGTTCCTTCTAATGACCTTGGTATGTGTTTACGGTTACACTATTTCCTTTATACCCCGTTATATCGTGCATGCGAGTTTTGCTTCCTATTACATTGAGAAAACAGAGGTCATTGTGGGTGATTTTCCTAGGCTTCCTATCACCCTGCTTGAGTTTACGTAGATTCATACCCATTCTCAGCTTCTCTCCTCTGTTTAAGGCTAGTCCAACAGTCTATGCTTTTGACCTTTGCCACTCCCACCACTCTGGAGTTGGTCAGTTGTTACCCTGTCCTCTTTTTTTTGGTACCAGGAATGAAACTCAGGACCTGGTGCTTGCCAGGCAGGTGCTGTGCCACTGAGCTATGTCCCTTCCTACTCTTCTCTTGTGTGTGTTCACTGTCTTTCTTTTTCTCAGTCTGTCCAAATACTTTTATCTTGTCTGTCTTCATAACAAAGTTACTTTACCTCACAATCCCTGTAGCTACTACTGTCTAACACTCTCACTTTTTTGTCCAAATTTTTTTCTTTAATTAGATTTTATTGGTACATTGTAAATATACATAATGATCACATTCATCACCAAATTCTTATTCTCAAGAATTACTTGCATTTATGTCTTGGTTTCTTCAGTTCTTTTTTCCTTGTCTGTTAATGTTTTCCTTCTTTTATTTTTTAAAATAAAAAAAAACAAACAGCATAAAAAAAAAAAAAACCTGAGATAAACACCTTAAAGGAAGAAAGCTTTACTTTGCCACATGGTTTCAGAGGTTTCAGTCCATGGTTGGTTGGACCTTGTGTAAGACAGAATATCATGAAGAGAGCACATGGTAGAGGAAACTGCTTATCTCAAAGCAGCTGGGAAGCAAAGAGAGAGGAAGGGGCCAGGTTCCCAATGTCCCCTTCAAGGGCAGGCCTCTACTGACCTTTCTTCCATAGGCTCCTGCTCCCCAAAGATTCTACCACCTACTGATAGTGCCACAGACTGATGACCAGGCCTTAACCACATGGCCTTTGGTGGACAATTTAAGATCTACACTATAATGTGCCTTGTCTTCTTTTTTGTTTTTGCAGTACTGGGAATTGAATCCCTGGGGGGATTCCTACCTTCCCCTCCCCCTTGGACTTAGGTTCTCACTAAGTCATTAAGTAGCCCAGGCTGGGTTTGAATTTGTGATTTTCTTGACTCAGCCTTTCAGTGTGCTGGCATTACAGATGTATACCACCCAGCTACACTTTGTCATCTTCACTGATGTCTTTCATTTATTTATTTTCTGTAGAAACCTGCTGGAATGTGTCCCTGATTGGGCCTGTGAAGCAAAGAAACTAGAAATATTAGATATGAGCTATAATCTTCTCACAGAGGTTCCTATAAGGTATGTGTACATGGGAATGTGTATTTGTGTATGTGTGTTTGTATTTATTTATTTTCTTAGATTTGAGTTGCCCCTTACAGTTGTTCAGTGAACACTGAATACCTGCTGAGTACTTGGTGGTGTTATATGTTGTAAGGAATATAATATACATGGTCTGGTCTATAAGAACCTTAATAAGAAGATACTGTGACTCGCATAGATAAATGTTATAAAATGTACCAAGTTGCTGGCATAGGTTGGTGATATATGAAAGTAATAATAGGGTTTTTTTTTTTTTTTTGTCTTTTTGAGCCAGGGTCTCACCATGCAGTTCAGGCTGGTCTTGAACTCACTTTATAGCCCAGGCTAACCTCGAACTCACAGTGATCCTCCTGCCTCATCCTCCCTGAGTGCTGGGATTACAGGCGTGTGCCACTATGCCTGACAATAATAGTTTTGTGTGTGTGTGTGTGTGTGTGTGTGTGTGATACTGGGGATTGAACCCAGTACCTTCACACTGAGCTACATCCTCAGCTTTTTTTATTTTTTATTTTGAGATAAGTTCTTGCTAAGTTGCCCCAGTGGGATTCAAACTTCTGCTCCTTCTGCCTCAGCGTCCCAAAGTGCTGGGATTATAGGTATGCACCATCAAGCCTGACAAAATAGTTAATTTTATAGGCTGAGTTATTATGAGCTGGGTAATACCCCAAGAACTTCACTTTTATGGTCTTACCTCATCTATTAACCGTATTATGTATGTGCTGTTGTCTTTATCTCAGAAATTTGAAAACTAAAGAACTTGTCTGAGGTGGTACTTAACCAGCAAGTAATGGGGAATGGCATTTGAATGTAGTCATTCTTACTTCAGAGCTTTTACTCTTAATCACAGCACTGGCTAAACTGCTTTAGAAATTCAGAAGAACTTCGAATAATTAGAGAATGCTTTGTGGAGAACATAGCATTTGAACTGACCTCATAGGGTGATGGGATTTCTCTCAGTGAAGGGGAAGGAGAGTGGTGCTTGGCAGAGTTGAGCGGTTGCAGGGGTGTGTTCAAAACCACTGACATGTAAAGTGTGTGCCTATGGAGTTTTAAAACTAAACTAGAGGCTTGGTAGCATAAGAGGTCTGAGCACAACCTTTGGAGTCAGACTGTGCCATTTACTATTCACTGTGAGGTCCTTGGCAGGTCGGTCAGTTAATTTTTCTGAACATTCTTAAATGACTTACACAATCTAAGCACTCAATAAATAGTTTTTCTTGCAATGAAATTTTATTATGAATTTATTAAATTAAATCCACAGAAATTATTAATAAATGTTATCTAAGCTTCATCTCTGTCTAAACTTAAAATCTGACTGAGTTTGTGCAAGAAATTGCTTTAGCTTAGATTTCTGTGCTGCTTGTGTTCATGAATTCATCTTTTCTTAGAATGACCTTACTGACTTTGTGGTGAGTGGTGGGTAGCATACGGTCTTGCTGCTTTCTTGGCTTGGGCACTTGTTAATGATTATATAGTCTAGAAAGAATGTGTTTCTATTAAATCGGTTGACTGATTTTTAGTTAAATAGCCTAGGACAGACTTAGAAAGGAGGATTTAAGTATGTTTTTATTTGCTTCTTTGTGTTGTCTCCCCTCAGAATTCTGAGTAGCTTGAGTCTTAGGAAACTGATGGTGGGACACAATCATGTCCACAGTCTTCCAGCTCTGGTGGAGCACATCCCGCTGGAGGTGCTGGATCTCCAGCACAACGTCCTCACCAGGCTGCCAGATACCCTCTTCTCCAAGGCCTTAAAGTGAGTATCAGAGGGTTTTTGTTTTTTGTTTTTAGAAGAGCGGAATCACTGACTAAACGAACTGCATTGGCTCGTCATTGGAGTGATTTTTGGAACTGTATTTATAAGTTGACCTGATATTCCAATGATAGGTGGAAATCTACTTGTAATTTTTATGAAAGAAAAGATGGCAGTGTTTCATGAGGTGGTAATCTCTAACTCAAAGTTGAAATAATCATCAAATAAGGAGTTTGTTTATAGACAATTTCAAGTAGGTTGGAAAGATTCAGGCTTTCATCCCCAAAACTAAATTTAGTTGTTGAAATTTAAAGAGAAATTGCAACATTCTGGTATAGCTTCTTTGGGCAGTTTTCAGCTTTTGCACTGGGGAGAAAAGGCTGTACTACTAAAGTCAGTTTAACTGTAGCAAACTGTCTGTTGAGTTACATTCTTCATTTGCAGAGCTTTTTTGCTGCCTACTTTGAGAACTATAAGTTACAAACTTTCAAAAGGTATTTGGTATCTCATTACAAATTAACAAATACATGGTATATCTTCCTATTTTAAGGCCTTTAATCAGGTTTACCTAATAACGTATGTCACCTTTAAATTAAAATTAGATTTTATTTTTATGTATTTTTTTGTGGGTTTTTTTGTTGTATTGGGTATCAGACTCAGGGTCTTGCACATGCTAGGCAGTCAGTCACTGTACCTCTGAGCTACCCACCTGCTCACCATCCAAGTATACTAATTTTTTTTGTGATACTCTTGTACAACACAAGGACAGCAATATCATCTTCAATATAGAAATGGAGAAAGCCGTGATAAGTGTAGTAGTTTAATATAGAGCTACAGGAAATATACAAAAAGCATTTGGCTCACAAATGTTTGGTCTCTGTTTAGCAGCTTGTGTATCTTTTAATCTATAATACCCTTGGTTGGATATTCCTCAAAATAATATGTTTGAAAATTAAAAAAATGTTTCAAGGATATTTTGTTTCAGAAAGTTGATATGATGTCTGTAATCCCAGCACTTGGGAGGCTGAGGCAGGAGGATTGTTGCAAGTTCGAGGCCAGCCTGGGTTACAAAGTGAGCTCAAGGCCACCCTGAACTGCATAGTGAGACCCTGTCTCAAAAAGATCAAAAAAAAAAAAAAAGTTGATAACAGAGGCTTGATACAGCTGTTAACAAGTATTCATGAGCAATATATTTCACTGCATTTAGTTCTAATGATGTTCTGAATAAAATTTGTTTACCATCTTAGATTCTGTATTAAAAGAGTTACTTAGCTATAGGAAACTGTCAGTTTATGTAATAGTCAGTATAGAGAGAGCAGTTTTGGGACATATCTTCAGTAAGCTTAGAGCTAATTAAGGATGTGAATCATACAACATAAAGATTTAAGAATGTAAAATACACTTTACATTCTTAAATATATTAGCTGTCTCTTATGAAGAATGTTCTCTATATCCCAGATACTATGTTTGGCAGATGTTTAAGTCATACCATGTCTTACCTGTTAGATTGCCAGGCTGGGGATATAGCTCAGTGGCACAAGGACCTGAGCTCAATTCCCAGTACCAAAAAAAAAAAAAAAAAAAAAAGAATAAACCTATTAGATTGCCAAAGATTAGATTGAGTTATGATCCAGTGTTAACAAATGTGTGAACATGCTGACATTCTTGTGTTCTTATGGAAGGATAGCCATGTTCAAGTTCAGTTTGGTAATATGTTAAAAAAATCTTTATATATCCTTTGATCCCATAAATTTAGGAATGTACCCTAAAGAAATAAGTGGATAAGGACCTAAAGATACTCATTACAGTGTTTATAATAAGTGCAAAAAGCCAGCCTATATGTCCATTCCTAGGAAATTGTTTTGAGATTGGCTAAATAAATAATGATGCTGTTAAAACCAGATGAACTTTTTTTCTGAAGGATATCTTCATAGTTGAGATATGTGTGAACATGATACTCTACAGTATCCTTTCAGTAGACACATAGACAGTAAAAGATGAAGCGAGGTTAGAATCTAGCCATCACACAAGCCTAGGAAGGTAGGCACACTTATGTTCTTCCCTCTGTACTTGGCTTGCATGAGTTGAGTAAAAGGAATTTGAGTTTGGATAAACTCAGAGAAAACTATGTGCAAGAGATCACTGTTTTATTTTTATTTTATTTTTTAGTTTAGGAAGTTGAAATGGTAGCATTTCATACTCAGAATATGCCAATTCTTACATAAGAAGGCAGCAAACACAAAAGAAATGATGATCTCTGTTGTGTCTGTCAGTCTCAGGTACTTGAACGCATCTGCAAATAGTCTGGAGTTCTTGCCTTCTGCCTGCACTGGGGAAGAGAGCCTGAGTATGCTGCAGCTGCTTTACCTGACCAACAACCTCCTGACAGATCAGTGCATCCCTGTCCTGGTCGGGCATCCACACCTGCGGATCTTGCACCTCGCAAACAACCAGCTGCAGACCTTTCCTGCCAGGTGAATGAATGCAGACTTTGATTCTTTTCAATTATAACATTAATTCTGCATGTGTCAGACTAAATTATAGCCATCTTGGTTTGACACTTCTTTATGTAAACTGACCGATGCTAGATTTCACTAGTCCAATGGGAAAATCTCATTTTACTAGTTTGTACTTACTTAGTTGTTAGATATTAGTGACCAAAGAAATTGTGGTTAAAATGCGTTTAATTTTTAGTTCTAGTTATAGTAATGGTCGGGGAGTGTTCAACAAACCTGTAATTAAATTGGGGAAGTAGACAAGTGTCTAGGCAGTTGCCATAAAATGTTACAAATGCATGGTGTTAAAGATATGCACAAGTTACTGGCTGCATTGCCCAGGGCCTGGGTTGGGTTAGGCCTGGAGGAAGAGATGAATTGTAGCCAGGTTATGTGTGTGCGAAGACGTAAGAGACGATTAATGCTGTCAATTTTTATTTAGTGGCAGTGGAGACACCTTCAAAATAGTCATTTGTAATCATATTTTCAAAAACTAAGAACATGAAACATTTGATGGAATGAAATTATAAATATCACATGAAGTTATTGAATATCTGAATTTCCATCACACACACACACACATATAATAGAAATCACTTTTGATTCTCATTTTATTTTTATTTTTTAAATTAAAAAAATTATTTTTTTTAGTGTTTTGCGACAGGGTCTCACTTTAGTCCAGGCTGGTGTTGAACTCAGGGCAGTCCTGCCTCAGCTCCCAAGTGCTGGGATTACAGACATATGCCACTACCCCAGCTGATTCTCAGTTTGTTTTACAAATTTTCTTAGAAACGTGGTAAACTAAGAAAAATTGGCTAGGCATGGTGGTGCACATCTGTAATGACAGCACTCAGGAGAGTGAAGCAGGAGGATCACTGCGAGTTCAGTGCCGGCCTGGGCTACGTAGAGTTCAAGGCCAGCCTGAACTACGTAGCGAGACCCTGTCACAAAAACAGAAAGAAAAGAATTAATTGTTTTAAAATGACAATTTTATGAACATGTATAAAATGAGATAGAATTTAAGAAGGCAAGTGATATGAACTATATTCTTTAAAAGAATGGAAACTGTGGAATTTAAGGTTAGTATAGAACCTTAATTTAAGGGTATAGTAGATGTCTTGAAATCTCATGAGATTAATTTAGTTGACCTCAAAATATTTCACATAAAGTGAAAATATCAGACTGTTTGTGAAACTGTTGGGTAATAACAGATTTATCCCTAAAAAACTAATGTATTTCACCCAGTTTGTTTTTTTGAGACAGTTCTTACTACGTAATCTAGGTTGGCCTTAAACTCACTGGCTAGTCTCAAACTCCTGATCTTCCTGCTTCAGCCTCCCAAGGGATTCCAGGCATGCACCACAGTGCTTGGCTTTGATGACACTGTTGGAGGGATCCATGTAGGCTGATATAAAAATGAAAATACATCAAAGAAAATAAAAAAATAAAGTAGTAGTAAAGGTGAGAAGTGACAGGAGATAACGCAAAATTAAAGTAATCTAGTTACAGATTGTAAAGCTAAATGGAATTTAGGAGCAGCATATTAAAGAAAATGTATATTGCATACTGAGTCTTCTGTGAGGTCATATCCTGAGCAGTGTTAGAACTGAATAGGTCTGGTACCGGAGAAAAACCAAAAAAAAAAAAAAAAAAAAAAAAAAAACCAAAAAAGAACTGAATAGGTACAACCCAAATCTCATTTCTTTTGGACCGTTTTCAGAATCTAGCACAGTTCTGGTGCTAGATTGAGATACAGACATGGCATTGCTATTTATAACTCAGTAAGATGCAGAGGGGGAGTAGTGTAAGAGAAAAGCATGAGAATTAGATATGGGAACATGTTTAATATAGTATTAAATAAAAAAGTAAATTATAAAACAATGTTTCTTTAATATAGCATCATTTGTAAAATTTGAGAAATGTAGTTTCACGCTTTAAAGTCATTTCTTGTAAATCAGACATCAGGAAGATGTGTATACCTAGTACCGAGCCACTGTCAGGAAGGCAGGAGCAGTATGTCAGCCCTTGAAACATGCTCGGTGGCGGGTCAGCCTGAGATTGCCCGGCTGTTGTCTCTTTGCTTCCATCTCACTGGTCCTTTGCGGTGGATCAGGTCAGCTTTCTGTATTCTGTAGATGCTGTAAACAGCACTTAGTTGGAAACTGTTCTTTTTTGGTGCAGTATGGTATTTTGGTGTTTCTTTTTCAGCAAACTAAACAAATTGGAGCAACTGGAAGAACTGAACCTAAGTGGCAACAAGCTTAAAACCATTCCCACAACCATAGCAAACTGCAAAAGGCTGCACACCCTTGTTGCACACTCCAACAACATCAGCATTTTCCCAGAAATACTGCAGTTGCCTCAGATTCAGGTACTTTTATGTGCTTGAATGATGTCTCTATGGGAAAAATTTTAAGGGAGTGAGTTGAGCTGCTTCTCTTACAAGGAAGAAGATGGATGTATGAGTGAAATTACTTTCTTCTCTCAAGGAAGAGATACACTCTCTTCTAACATGCTCAGTTTGGGAATGTTAGTATACTTAATTCATTCCGGGAAAGAAATTAAATTCCCCTTTGAGGATATACAGTATTGAAAGTTTGAGCATTTGGAAGTAAAACTATCACGTATTATCTTTTGATTTTTTTTCCCCTGCTTCTCAGTTTGTAGACCTAAGTTGCAATGATTTGACAGAAATCCTAATTCCGGAGGCTCTGCCTGCTACATTACAAGACCTTGACCTGACTGGAAATACAAATCTGGTTCTGGAACACAAGACTCTGGACATGTTTAGGTGGGGAAAAAATCTGAAATTGAATTTGCTTGTGTTCTGAAGCCCACCAGCCATCTGGGGGTCTTTGTTAGGACTGTGGCAGTCTAAATTAATTAAAAGGATAGAATGAAGTAGGTGAGAAAGTCCCTAGTTTCTCTTCTTTGATTCAGTTATGAATGTATGTTCTATCCAATAGTAAATCTATTTTGGTACTGCTTTGTGGCCACTATCCATACTGAATAATTTTGTGTAGCAGGCATGGATATTTCAGGTGGGACAGGCCACATTACAATAAGTAAGGAGCAGTACAATTCACTCATTGCACCGAATTTCATTTGCTAATAGTATTTAAAGTAAGTAGTTGGCTGAAACTTAGAGATCCTCATCTGTGTTGTGCATTAATTTTAACAACATTTGGTCCTTACTTTCCTCCTGCCCCTGTTCTTTTTTTTCTCTTCCATCTGAGTCAGGAGTTCATCAAACTATTTTCATTCAGTCTCTGTGGAAATGCATTTTAGTCTGTAAAGGGCTTATTTTATAAAAATGTTACTGTTGAGATAGTTGTTATGAAATACAAAAGAGAGGCTGGGTTATAGCTCAGCAGCACAGTGCTTGCCTGGCAAGCACAAGGTCCTGAGTTCAATTCCCAGTAACCACATTGCCAGAATATGGTTTAATCTTTTCTTCCTCTGCCTCCCACAGCCATATCACAACCCTGAAAATTGATCAGAAACCTTTGCCGACCACAGATTCCACAGTTACATCAACTTTCTGGAGCCATGGACTGGCTGAAATGGCAGGACAGAGAAATAAGTGAGTATGTGGGCTGTGGAGACTTGAGAAAGGAAAAAGGCAGCCCCTGGTATCTGGGAACAGGTCTGGTGCTCGTAGCAAGGCCATGTTGTTAAACAGATCAAAGAACATCAACATCAGATAAGATCCTTCCGGGACCATCATAAAAGTAAAATAACAAAGTGAATGTCTACCAGATATCCCCTCCAGTGCCTTTCTCCCTGTGCTCATTTTCCTCCCCTACTGATAAGATTGATTGCAGTGTCCAACTACATAACAGCCCTGCTGATGGTCCCCAGTTTGCTGTAATCTTTCACTTCCTCAGACTGCCCCAAAATAGCCCAACTGAAGCCAAAACCCATACAGGGTTTTTTCTAGCACCTTCTTCCCTAGGTACTCCAGGGTGCCATGGGGTGCATTCTTCCTTGCTGCAAGGGGTAATAAACCCAGCTTCAACCACAGATGTGCCCCGGTGGTCTTTGGGTGAAGGGCATTGACAAAACTAATCCTTAATCCAAAACTAATCCAAAAACATCTTTTCCTGACAGCACTGCAAAGCTGATATATACTGCTCACTTTCTTTAGGACATCAGCTCATTCAGATGCTGCTTAATTATCTTATCTAGGGCCTTTTTCCATGTAGAGGTGAAGATTTACCCACTAATATTACTCATCTTCAGCTAATACTTTTTTAAAGAGCACTCTTTCAAGAGTAATTTTTTTACCAAAGCTCTCTTTGATGACTGTACCATCTTCTTATATTTCTTCCCTAGGCTGTGTGTGTCTGCCTTAGCTATGGATAACTTTGCAGAGGGGGTAGGAGCTGTGTATGGCATGTTTGATGGGGACCGAAATGAGGAGCTTCCTCGCCTGCTGCAGTGCACAATGGCAGATGTGCTTTTGGAAGAAATACAGCAGTCAACAAATGACACAGTTTTCATGGCCAGCACCTTCTTGGTATCTCACAGGTAAGCAGGTGGGTTGAATAATTCCTAGGTGAGCTCGGCTTTTGAAAAATAAATTTCTCTAAAGCAGAAAACCAAGGTTTAAATTACGAATTCAAGAGTGTTCCTATTCTTTCTTCCATAGTTTCTCAGTATCAGGATAGCCTGATGGGAACTTTGGCTCTTTAAGGAGCCTGTGGAGTCATCTCTCTTTTCTGTTGAACCCAAAGGCTTCTGGGGATCTGGGAAACTCAGAAATTATGTGCAAAAGATTGTGGTGCATCTACGTCTGTACATGTTGGGGAGGAAGGTGGTAAGCTTTCGTAAGATTCTCCAAAGAATCAGTGACCTGGGAAAGGTTAACAAGCACTGATCAGATTCAGGCATTTAGAATACTTGTTACTAGGGTTTACCCAATGAACCTTATTCAAGTCTAAGCCATTTAAGGGAAAACCCCTTAATCGAACTATTGAAAGTCTCTTGGTAGCTAAGGTAGTGTCTTGTACATCAGGAGAGCTGCATAAAGGATGTGAATAACTGAGAGGTTAACTTTTATAGTCAAGGCTGAGTGGAACCACCTGCAGTTGGAGCTGGTTTTATCTGCCATCCTAACAAAGCATGGTGTTGGGAAGGAATCTGTTTTTTAGTAGAATTGAGCTAGAAGCTTGGTAAAATAATGGGTTTGGAATTTTTTTGTTTTTTTTTTTGACCAGGAAGCAAACTCAGGACCTTGTGCTTGTTAGGCAGAAAATAATGGGTTTGGAAAAAGGATTTTAATTTATGAAGCGTCTCCCAAGGTCCTGGTGCTTGTTCCGTGCATTTCTCATCCTGTGTCTTTAATTTCAAATCAACCAAAACAGGCAGACATTTTGTCAGAGAAATGTCTGAGAGAAATAGCTTGCTGTGAGTCTCCAGCCAATACATGGCAGAGTTGGAATGTGGCACTAAATTCTCTTGCGACTGATTGCTCTGTGTTAGTATGGTGTCCTATGTGTGGGGACATTGATGCCATGTGTATGGAGGAAACATGAGAATTACAGTCCTTCCTTCAAGAAACTGATAGCCAGGCCAGTCGTGGTGGCACACGCCTGTAATCCCAGCAGTCTGGAGGCTGAGGCAGGAGAATAGCTGGGAGTTCAAGGCCAGCCTGGGTTACATAGTGAGTTCAAGCCAGCCCAAACTACATAGTAAAACCCTGTCTCAAAAGAAAAGAAAAGAAAACTGACAACCTGACTGATTCTCAGTGTTTTTTCAGGGCCAGCATCCACAGCACCCCCAGAAACTTGTTAGAAATGAAGATTGTTGGGCCAGCCTCTTAATCCCTGATGCAGAAATGCTAGGGGCAGGACCCAGCACTCTGTGCTCAAACAGTTACCAGACCCTCGAGATGATTGCTGAAGTTTCCGAAGCCCTGAATTAGGAAGTCTCTGATCAGATACAAAGCAGTAGAGAAAGACGCATGTGTTCTAGCCCCACCCCCACCTTTAATTTTTTTCCTCCATTAGCTGAGAATGGAAGGCATAACTCTTTACCACCCTCACCCGTATCAGAAGTCTTCTTTCGGGTAGATAAGGGTTAGGTGTTTCATGATCCCCATGGCAGAAAAACAAGCTTCATTTTCCTTTTTTTCTAAACAGGAAGTTAGGAATGGCTGGCCAGAAGCTGGGGTCCTCTGCTCTCCTGTGCTACATCCGCCCTGACACTGCCGATCCAACAAGTAGTTTCAGCTTGACTGTGGCTAATGTTGGCACATGCCAAGCAGTCCTGTGTCGAGGTGGAAAGCCAGTACCTCTCTCTAAGATCTTCAGCCTCGGACAGGACCCAGAAGAGGCACAAAGAGTGAAGGACCAAAAAGCCATCATAACAGAGGTACATCACACTCTCTGCCAGTCACTTCTGTTCCCAAAATCCAGTGAAGGTTGTTTTATGTAGAGGCCTTGAAGTTTGTTTTGTTTCTGTCATGCTTTATAAATTGTATTCAGTCCGGATAAATGTTCAATTTGTATGGCTTCACTAGTAGGACTAAAAGAAAATGTATTGAGCAATTAGTAACAAAAGGAAAAAGTAGAATTAATTAGAAATGAAAAGTCCTGCTGGGTGTGGTGGCACACGCCTCTAATCCCAGTACTCAGGAGGCTGAGGCAGGAGGATCACCCCAAGTCCGAGGCCAGGCTGAACTACATACATAGCAAGACCCTGTCTCAAAAACAAACAAAATAAAATCCAAAGAAATGGAAAGTCCTAATTCATCATCCTTTAAATGAATAGCTAACAAATAAGATAAATGTTGTGTCTCCCTTAGTTCCCAGTTCCTTTGCTTTGTTATTTAAACAGAAAACGACGGATTTCTATAGTGTGGCATTCCTATTCTGAAATGTGAAGTTTCAGAATATTTTTTTCCTGTTGATAATATACTTTATATAACTTAGTATACTCCAGTGTTCCTTTTAGTAATAAAGTATCATGTATCTCTACTATTTTATAGTTTTTCTCCTTTTAAAGAAATTAGCATAACTTTTCTTTCAGAGAGACTTCAGCATGTGAACATTATTTACTACAAAGCAGAATTCTGTTCAGATCTTTTGCCCATTTTAAATTGGATTGTTTATTGTTGAGTTTTAAGAGATTTCTTTGTATGTTTTAGAAACAAATCTTTTATCAGATAATGTGTTTTGCAAATATTTCCTCCTGGTATGCGGCTTATCTCCCCATTCTCTTAACAGTTTCTTAAGTTTTTGGTTGTAGTGAAGTCCCAGCTATCAGTTTGTTTTGCTTTTCCTCATGGATTGTGCTTTTGGTGTTCCATCTAAAAGTGCATTGCCAAACCCAAGGTCATCATATTTTCTGCTCTATTATCTTCTGGAAGTTTTATAGTTTTGAGTTTTACATTTAGATTGTTGGTTCACTTTGAATTAATTTTTGTGAAAGTGTAAGCCTTGCCTCTGGCTCTAGATTTTTTTTTAATGGCTATGTCTAGTTGTGCTGGAACCATTTGTTAGAAAGACTACCCTTTCTCCGCAGTTGTCCTCCGTTCCTTTGTCAAGGATGAGTTGATTTTATTTGTGTGGGTCTATTTCTGGGCTCTCTATTTTGTCAGAGTTCTACATAAGGACTATCCATCTTAGATTCCACCCCAGGAGGTACAAAACCAGCAAGTATCATTATAATGTTGTCGATACTACTAGGATTCTGGAATTATGAGGCATTAATTTTAGGAAGGTCTTTCAGTCAAAACAAATGAAAGATAAAAGACAACTTTTAAAATAAAAAAAATTTTAAGACAACTTTTATTTGACTAGTCTGTTTTTATAGAATTTAAACGATATTTATTTATTTATTTATTATTGTTTTTCTTAGGGCATCTGAGACAAGTAGGAAAAATTTTTGTTACTTTTGTCACATTTTGTTTGCATCATTTACCGAGCATTATAGCTATAAATTTACTTAATCTTACCAATAACCCCCAAGAATGCCTTTATTTCCATTTTATAGATGAAGAAAATTAAGTTTTAGTGTTTGTATCAAACACTAAGTGAGAAGCCAGGGTTTTTACTCAGAAAGTGGCTGCCATTATGAAATTCATTCATTGATGACTTTAGAGTTTTGGGTTTTCTTTTTTAAATCAGTAACAAAGTGTTCAGCATATAAACATTCCCAACCTGCAGCCAGGCTGATTTCTTCCTCTTCATTTGGAAATACATGGGTTCTGATTTGAGTCGCTCTTCATTCTTGACTCCATCCCTGCAGAGCACGTAGATTTCAAGCTCCCATTTTTAAGCAGAATGTTTTTAGTATTTATTTCATGATTTAGCCACTGGTACTGTCTTATCCATTGGATATCTTTGCAGTCCCAACTGTGCCTGTAAGAAATCATTTTTAGTGATTCATCTTAGTTTTGGCCTGAGAGGACTAGGGATGGGAAACTGATAGTAGTTCTGGCTATAGTTTTTCTAACACGTTTCTTGATTTAAGGACATGCTGAGGCCTGTCCTTCATGTTAGAACAAATGTCTTTTTAGATGGTGGTGCCTTTTAATTACTTTATTTAATTGGATTTCCCTTCAGACCACTCAACTATTTGGTATAATAGCCATATGGCATTTTGTCTTTTTAGAATCTTAAAAAAAAAAAAAGAATCTTTCTACATTTATATTTGTAAATCCACTTATAATTGTACTGATTCTAGGACAAATCATATATAAAATATACTTTATTGTAGATCCCTAGACATTGCCAAAGATATAAAATTGCATGTCATTGTTGCTTCTTTCTCAATATTTGTATTTTGCTCATCTCTAGGACAATAAAGTGAATGGGGTAACTTGCTGTACTCGGATGCTGGGTTGTACCTACCTGTACCCTTGGATCCTCCCCAAGCCCCACATATCTTCCACTTCACTTACCATTCAAGATGAGCTGCTGATTCTGGGAAACAAAGCATTGTGGGAACACTTGTCATACACGGAAGCTATCAATGCAGTACGTCATGTGCAAGACCCGTTGGCAGCTGCCAAGAAGCTGTGCACGTTAGCGCAGAGCTATGGTTGTCAGGACAATGTGGGGGCAATGGTGGTGTATTTGAACATTGGTGAGGAAGGCTGCACTTGTGAAATGAATGGACTCACCCTCCCAGGTCCTGTGGGATTTCCTTCAACCACCGCCATCAAGGATGCCCCCAAGCCAACCACTCCTTCCTCTAGTAGTGGGATTGCCTCAGAGTTTAGCAGTGAGATGTCCACCTCTGAGGTGAGCAGTGAGGTGGGCTCCACCGCTTCTGATGAACACAACACTGGAGGCCTGGAGGCTGGCTTGGTCCCAAGGCCAGAAAGGCGCTGCAGCCTCCACCCAACACCCGCCTCTGGGGTTTTTCAGCGCCAGCCTTCTTGTGCAACCTTCTCCAGTAATCAGTCTGACAATGGCCTGGACAGTGACGATGACCAGCCTGTGGAAGGGGTCATCACCAATGGCAGCAAGGTGGAAGTGGAAGTAGACATCCACTGCTGCCGAGGAAGAGATCTTGAGAACTCTCCTACGCGAAAAGAGAATTCTTCCACTTCGTGTCCTGAGGAACACCCTAGAGGGCTGTGCTTTGGGATCCGAAGACAGAACAGTGTGAATAGCGGCATACTTATGCCACTGAACAAGGACAAGATGGAGTTACAGAAGTCTCCTTCCACTTCCTGTCTGTATGGAAAGAAACTCTCTAATGGCTCTATCGTGCCCCTAGAAGACAGTCTGAACCTCATAGAAGTGGCCACAGAGGCACCCAAGAGGAAAACTGGCTACTTTGCTGCCCCCACTCAGCTGGAACCAGAGGATCAGTTTGTTGTACCTCGTGACCTGGAGGAAGAAGTGAAGGAGCAAATGAAGCAGCACCAGGAAGGCAGGCCCCAGCCCGAACCCCATGAAGAGGATCGGACCGAGCCCCCAGAGGAGTTTGACACAGCGCTGTGATTCTGCCCCTGCAGGGGGCACAGTGTGAGGGAGGGTGTGTGCGGTTGGGGAGTGGACCGTGCAGAGGCCCTTTGCCTCTGTGTTTCTAACCATAGATACATGGAGTAGAACTTGGAGCCAAAAAACATGACAGCTATTAGGGCCTGGCTCTCGATGGGCCAGTACCACGTCAGTGTTAAGTTTCACATTTAACCTGCATTGGAATTCCCAGAGTTACTGGGAAGAAAGCAGATGTTGTTCTGTATCAGTCCTACCACCTGCCATTAACCCTTTCTCTCCTAGGATCATTTTGAGAATTTGCCTGCCTGGGCAGGAAAGGGACTTTTTCTGTGGAGGAAGTAACTGAAGGTTTATTTCTTTTACTAATTGCTGCTGATGGATCTCTGTGACAGAGAAGTCACCTTATCTCTTAGACTAACTAATGGGGGGGTGATGTGACTAGTCACATGGCTTTTCGTTCTTCTCTACGAGAATACAGCCTATCAAAATGATGTTTATTGGAGATGTAGAACCAAACAGATAATTTATGTATGTAATGTAATGAGAGCACTTTTCATTGACTGTGAACTTTTTATTTTTGAATCTGCACTCGAGCCAATCTTCTTAGAGGCAGCCTGGCACCTCTTTTCATAAGCAGAAAGACGACTGGGTGTTGGAGTCTTCTCTGAGGGTACTTAGAAGGGTCCTGGAAATTGTTTGAACTATTGTTTGATATCAGACTGTGAAAGCTCCTGGGAATCTTAGGGTAGTAGGATCGTCTTTGGGGGATGAAGGTGGGGAAGAAGTGATAACTGAGACTGCTTCCCCCGTGTCCGATAAAGAGGGTCACTCTTTGACAGATGTGACATCTGCTAGGACTTGTGGTTCCAGCAGATCACAGAGTGGGTACTTGGATTGACCTGTTTCTCTAATATGTGGTAACGTTGGCCATCAGCCACCCGGTGGGCCACACCGACACCGCTGGTACCCAAGTAACTGAGTTACAGAGATGACCCTGAACCAGAAGCTGAATGAGAACAGGTGGGTGGAGCTCACAGGTTAAATTTGTTCCTTCTTTAGAACAGAGAGATGGTTCACTGGGAGCTCACTCTTTCATGTTTGACAGTTCACCCTTCTGAACTTAACTTCCCACCATATGTGGTTTCAGAGTATGGGCTCAATACCAATATAAGAAAGACTCTTAATTGAAAAATTTCTAAGCTTACAAAAAACTTGTATTTTTCACATTCCATATAATCCTAGCAAGATGCAGTTTCTTCCATATTTCTGTCACTTGTTTCATTAAAAGATTTACTTAGAAAAATGAATTCCTACCTTATTTTACCATTGCTTGGTTTTACCCAATGGGAAATGTGCTTTGAAAGTTTAGAATATTTCATAATTAAAAGGAAAATAGAGTGGAACTCACTTTGTTTCATCAGAAACAAAACATTAAATATTCTGTTGAAAGTATATATTTATTCATTTGTATTTTGGGAGAAGTTTTTGTTCGAAGTCAAAATCAGATGACCTGTCCACAAATAGTTATGTCTCCCCATTTTCTCAGAGGTCCCATACCCCTGTGCATGTGTCAGTGAGGTACTCTCTTGAAGAATTTTGTGCCACTGTAGTAGCTGCCTACTAGTCGACCCCTCTAGAATCTGAACTTGAACCCTAATCATCAGGAACACTTGACTTCTCCCTGTCAAACTACTGGCCAGCTACTGAAAAACTTTAGAACTCAGGTTTTTGATTTGAAGTGGGGAACACGGTGGCTCATATGAAGTTTAGGTGCTGTTAAAAGATGGGAACAATAGTGTGTTGCCACCTTATTTTTATACGGGAAAATGAAAAAGGAAAAAAAAATGGAGGGAAAACCCAAGATTGTAGGTAATGGGTGATGTAAAACATCTTCCTACTCAAGACAGCCAAACCTTCGGGTTATAGAATCGTGATGTTGTCTAAAAATCAGTTATTTTGGAAGAATACCACTTTAGTAGCATATCATAAAAAAGTACTTTATCTGTGAACCCTTTTCATGTCGTCTGTGTGTCTACCGCCCCGCTAACTGGAATCACCTCAAAACCCAGTTCTGCAGTGACCTTAGCAAAAGTAAGTGTAGCAGCTGGGCATGGTGGCACACACAGATAAGCTCGGCTTCATCGGAGGCTGAGGCTGCAGATTAAAAGTCTAAGCCCCACCTGGGCAGCTTGTCTCCAGAAGTGAAAGGACTGTAGATGTAGCTCAGTATGAAGGCCCTGGGTTCAATCCCCAAGTACCACCCCCAAAAAAGTGTGCTTACTTTTGGTCAGCAGAACTCTGAAATTCCAAATGTATTTTTATGTGGTAGTGTTATTTTTAGGACCTGTTCAGTTATACTGAAAACCTTTAACGTAGGCTATACCAAAACTTACATTTTGCAATTTCCTTTCATTCATGTCTTTCTACAGTTGCTCTGTATTAAAGCAGGGTGAAAAGGCCATAGCCCATTACCAAAAATGTACCACATACCTATTTTGACCGGCAAGGTAATTTACAGATTTATTATCTGGGCAGGCTGCCAGTGAGAGCAGTAATGTTTCTCCAGGGGAGTGTGATCTTGCCAGGACTTTACCCAGAGGGTGTGTTCCCCCAGTGGGCGGAGTAAAGGTGATCTGTAGCACGGAAACCCATGTACCTCTGAAGGAACACTTCTCGTTACGGCTGCAGTTGAGGAGTTCCGCAGGGAAAGGAAAATGCGGCTGTATACCTGAAAATTTGAATGGTAGTATAGGACAGAAAGCAGCAGTGCTGCTGTGGTGAAGTCATGGAATGACACTCCTGACACAGCGAGGGCTTCATTATACTACTGTAGATTGTACTTGTGCAATAAGTCGGTGAACTCATTTTCTTGGCATACAGAAGAGCAGCTTGGTAATCACTGGGTGCTATTACAATTGCTTGTATTGAGTGCTGTTTTCCAGGAGATGGAGCCAGTTAGGTTTGGCTGATCTACTGACTATCAGATGATGCTCTTTCTATGTAGACCTTCAGTAAAAGCAGGTACTTGGAAGCCACAGGCTCACCTTCTCTATTTATTCAATAATTATTAATGAAGAGACCTCCATAAGGGAGCACTTGGCTGTTATCAATAAATGTATCAGTTACTAAAGAATTAGTCTCCAAGCCATTCGGTGATGTCCGCAGCATCACCGTAGAACTGTCTTGTGTCACTTTTTACTTCCCTCTGGGTGGAGCCTTCCAGGCTCCCCAATCATGGAGGCAAGTTAATCTTTCTCTCCAGTTAGTGACTTTCCCCAGGGGCTGGGTAAGCACTTCCTAGATTGAGAAATGCAGCTACAGTCAGACCTGCTCTGTTCCCTCATTTGGTGATCAATCAGCATAAACTCCTTGTACTCTAAATCTCATGCACCTCTCCCAGATGCTATAGGGTTTCTCTCACTGTTGCCAATGGATAGCATCCAGACAGTGAGCTCATATCTTATGGTTTTGTGCAATCATTGTTGTATTGTAGTCCTAAGACTCATTATAGTGTATTTTTGATATTTTTTGAAATGTGTTAAATTTTTTAATTCAATAATATGAGCCAGAGCATGTTGCAGCAAATCTATTGTTTGTAAAAAATAACAATAACAATAATAAATAAAATAAAATGGAATATCTTTTTCATGCTTTTGTTTTAAAATGGAATGCTTATTTTATAAACATTTTATCATGCAGCTATACTTTTCTCTCCTAACTTATGTGTGGAATTAGGTTTATCTTGTTTTGTTTCATTTTTGGAGTGAGGGTTTCGCTGTGTAGCCTAGGCTCACCTTGAACTCATGATGATCCTCCTGCCTCAACCTCCCAGGTGTTGGTATTACAGGTGTGTACCACCATGACCAGTGTTAGAAATAGGTTCTTAATCAAAATTCCTTTAGGATTTTTCTGCTCTTTCTTGCTTCATGGGAAGATAGGTAAGAACAAACACATAAAATCACATTCCATGATACTCTGGGAAGCTGTGAATTAAGGCAAAAATAAATAGTTTTGGTCAGCTTTTGCGTTATCTTTGTGTCACTTTAACAGAACATCGAACACAGGATGCTTACACAGAAATTCCTCATTGAGCTCACAGTCGCGGAAGTTTGAGAGCATGGCACTGGCACTCGCTCAGCTGTCAGCCTGGTCACACGGTGGGTAGCGGGGGCAGGAGCATGCTGGGGAACAGGTGATTACATCTCAAACCAAAAGCAGGGAAAGTGGAGTGGGACCAAATTCAAGCTTTGTATCAGTCCCTTCTCAAGACCCACCAAGGAAGAGCCGGGGATATAGCTCAGTGGCACAAGAGCCTGCCTGGCAAGCACAAGGTCCTGAGTTCGATTCCCGGTACAAAAAAAAAAAAACAAACATACCAAGGAGTCACAAGAACCACCGGCAGAGGGCGCCCCCCAGTGACTGAGGACCTTAAGTGGGCTCCCAAGGGTTCCACTGCCGCCCAGTAGCACTGTACTGCGGACGAAGTCTTCTGTCAGTGGCTCCTTGGGGGGTGGCCTCAAACCACATCCAAACAGTAGCACCTTTCTGCTTAAATAACAGTAAAGATTTTTAATTTAGAAAACATTCTGGCTTGGCTTATATGTTTAAAGAAATCTCTAAGGCAGGAAACACAGTCCTTGTTTATGTGAAGGTTATCAGCTGAGCAGAAGAAATGACTGTCAACAATGTACAGATCCTCTTGGGGCTGAAGAAAGAAGTTGGCCACGTTTTTCATAATGCAGTGGCTCAGTGTCAGGATTTCAGATGTAGCGGTGAGTGTGGGCTTACAAGATCATTGTAATCCAGTTACACCTTAAAATTAGTGCTTCCAGGCCAGGTGTGGTAGTACATGCCTGTAACCCCCGCACTCAGAGGCTGAGGAAGGAAGGATGGCAAGTTTGAGCACAGCCTGGCCAATTTAGTGAGACTTTGTCTCAAAAAAAGAGGAAAAGGGCTGGGGATGTAGTTCAATGTGAAGGCCCTAAATCCAATCCCCAGCACCCAAAATTAGTGGTCTTTGCCCCCACTGGGAGTATTCCATCATGTCTAAACTCAAGCAGATTAGCTTCCTCTCCGAATAAAGGCCAAGTTAGAGCCATTCTGCAGATTTCCTCTTTATTCAGCAGAATGACTTTTTTTTTTTTTTTTAAAGAATATTTTTATAGACTGTATTCAGAGCCAGAAGTGGTGCACACTTGTAATCCCAGCCCTCTGGAGGCCGAGGTAGGAGGATTGCGAGTTCAAAGCCAGCCTGGGCTACATGGTGAGACCCTGTCTGAAAAAACAAAATGTCCATGAACAGAAGAATGGATAAAGGAAATGTGGTATGTGCACACAGTTGAAATTAAGGATAAACTTGAATCACTGGTAGATCTAGACTGTAACGTGAAGGGAAGTAAAAACACAGGTTTAAATGTTGCATGCTTTCTCCTAGACAAGAAACCCAAAACATAAAGAGCAAAATAAAAACTAGAGAACAGGAAAAAAGGGAGAGAGATCTTTTGCAAAAGGTAAGGGGACAAGAGATAGGGAGGGGATGAGGAAAAAAAGATGATGTACATGAACCAACTCCCAAGAGGAATGTAATTAATAAAAAACATAAAAACTCAGAAGCCAGCAAACAACAAAAAGCCTCTTGGTTTGGCAATAGTTTTTTTGCTGTTTTGATGCAAGGTCACTCTTAATTCAGGTTGGCCTTTAACTCACTGTGGGGCCCAGGCTGCTGTCAGACTTGCAATCCGAGCACTGGGATTATAGGTGTGCACCTCCACACTCAACACCTTCACGGAGCACCTTCAGTATGCAGGGCCTACACCACCACCTCCTCTACTACTCAGTTCGGTAGATACACATCTCCCTTGCCCGTGGTGGTATCGGCCGGATTCTCTGAGCATGTTCTCCACCTTATGCATTATTCCCTGACACACTAAAGGCCGTAAGAATGACTTAGTCATGCATTCAACATTGCCGTGTGTGACTCACTGTGTCCAAGTTTTATCTTTGCTACTTAAAAAGCTTTAGACAAGTTATATTCCCTCTAAGGCTGGCTGTTGTTTTGAGACAGGGTGTCTATGCAGTCCAGGCTGGTCTAGAACTCATGATCCTCCTGCCTCAGCTTCCCCAAATTCTGGGATTTCAGGTGTGCACAACACCCACCCCCTTTTGTGGTGCTGGGCATCAAATTTAGAGCCTCACAATGCTATCCAAGTACTCTGCCACTGATCTATCTCCCCTGACCCCATTTTTTTCACTTAAGTGAAATAATAGTGTCCGTTGTCAGCTACAAGCTTACATGAGATGATGCAGACAGTGCTTTTTTAGCACAGTAATGTACTTGGCACATGGTGAGCATTCCACAAAACTTTATTACGTAAACCACTTTTATCATCCTTCACCTTGTCTGCTCGTCTGTAACATGTGACTCAGTCTTGGCCTGCCTACCTGGCAAGCGGTAGTAAACAAAATCAGGTTTACTGAATCATTTTGAACATTATGAAACCGCTGATGTGGGAGTCATTAGCCATGGATGGGCCCATCAGTGAAGCGGGGCTGCCTCCTGGGGGCAGGGTCCTCGCTGGGCCTGGGCGCCACGCTGGGGTCACACAGGCCACAGTGCCCTTCCTGTCCAGCGCAAAGCCCAGTGTGGCAAAGCTCTAGTGGACGCGGTCAGTGAGTGAGCTTAGGTGAGAACAGTATGTGCGGGGACGTTAGTCTTTGAAAAGTGGGTGTTTGGTTTTTGCTGCTGAGCTTCCCTACCAGTGAAACTGGGACGGTAGCCACTGCTCCAGGTGGACAGTGACAGTGCCATACTTTCGGGTGGCCCGGCCAACTTTATTTCAGTTCAGCAGTACAGATTCCCAGGTGCACATCTTCCTCCAAGCTTTACTATTTATTTTTATGAGGTTTACTTTTGACCCTCTGTCTTGGACAGGCTCCTTGTGGATTAACGATAGAAAAGCAGGACAGTGTTAGAAAAAGGCCTCTGTAACATGAATGTAAAAGTCTTTAGCCGGATCTGACATCAACTGAGACTGGCTGTAAAGAAGAAGAACAGGTATAAATTGAGAGTGAAACAGTAAAATCAAATAAGACTTAAATTACTGAAAATTTTATTTTTAAGGTTCAGTGCTAGAGACTGATTAACTCATGAAGTCACCATCCATGCTGAAGGCCTGCTCTGGGGGCCCTGAGAGGGACTGCGGATGGAAAGGCCGCCAATAAGGCCCTGAAGCTAATAAGGCCAACTGCCTTATCTTTGAGATCAGCTGAACGACACATTTAATTTTACAAATTTTTTCAGTGTTTGGAAACCTCATGTTTAAAAAAGGCTGTGAAACATTTCAGAAAAGTGAATTCCAGCGGAATGATTTGCCAGAAAAATACTGACAGGAAATAGCCGGAAGGAGACATTAGCCACGGGGCCCTGAAGGAGGAGTCCTGAGGAGGACTGGGCCTGCGGAAAGCACCGCTCTCCCTGGGTCGGACTCCAGCTGCTTGCAGTGCGCTTTGGCGGCCTCCCTAATAGCAGAGGGCTTCCCTTTAGGAGGGAGCAAGAATAACTGCTTGAAAATCATTCTTTGGGACCACATCGGGGCGAGGGGGAGTTGGCGCGTTTCTTCTGATGACTTTAGGAAGGACAGGTATGATTCCCACTGGATCTGCCACCCTTTGATGTGCAGTTCTCGCCTTTCAGAATTACCCTGGCTCGGGGCTGGGGATTTAGCTCAGCGGCACAGTGCCTGCCTGGCAAACACAAGGTCATGAGTTCGATTCCCAGTACAGGAGGAAAAAAAAAAAAAAAAAAAAAAGAATTACCCTGACTAGTGAGCTATTTCTTTCTAGTGAGGGTGCCCTCCCTTCTGATGTTGCTCTTTGTACTTTGAAGCTATCACTGAGTCAGTCAGCAATCACGGATGGATTTTACAATGGAAAAATGAGACAATTACTTAACTGCGTTAAGTAAATAAAGGCAGCCCCTATGAGATCAAGTATGTGAAAACCACAGTTGTCTAACTGATTTTAAAGGACCTGCCTTTTTGAGAGAAACAGTAGGGGGAGGGTTGACATTTGGCGTCCAGAAAGTCGCCTTAGAGTGTCCCAGACCACAGGTATTGTGGTACATCGCTGTAATTCCCGGGCTGTTCTTGGCTGTCTTTGTAGAGCTTCTGTTTTCTGTAGCTCCGCAGGGCCAGGACCACGCTGACACCATACATGATGACCAAAAGACAAGCGAAGGTGGCCGCTGCTCCGTCAGTGCCTGCCAGCTGGCAGTTCATCCAAGTGAGGCCTCTGCGGGCGTACAGCCGCTCTCTTTTTTTGCAAGTGTCCGTGGAATTGATCTGCAGAGCTGCGTGGAGGTAAACGCCAATGCCTACGCAGTAGCCCACTGCTGCGAGGAGACTGAAGGTGGCCTCCAAGAGAAGCCATTTCCCAGGCAGTTTTGCTAGACTCTTGGCTCCCTGGACTAGAACGCCCATGGTGAGGACACCGAGCCCCAGGGAAACGGCCACGCCGCTGTATATCAGGGGTGACCGGAGGACAGTGTACTGCTGGTCCAGCCGCCGAACTTCCTCCAGCTCGCTGCCCTCAAATGGCGAATAATAGTTGTTCCCAAAGCCGCTGCCACTGGCAAAGCTGGCGCTGAATCCGGCCAGGACAAAGTAGGAGGCCACGATACACATGAGAACCATCCCATTCAAAATCACCTCCGTTATCTGTACCACACCTAGAGGAAGAGAGATTCTGGGTTTAACACTGACATCACTCACCCTGGCCAAACCCGAGGATTCCACCGACCTCAGTTTAAGAACCAGGGCAGATTCAACTTGAACATTCTCGATTTGTTTTTGGTGGTTGTTTTGCTTTTAAGATGTTTGAAAGATTAAAATGCCACTTGGGGTAGTTTCTTAAAAAATGAAACATATGACCCTGCAATTGTACACCTGGGCACTTTATCCTAAATAAATGAAAACTTACGTTCACACAAAAGCATGTACATGAGTGTTCCTGGTGGCTTTATTTGTAATGGTCAAATACTCGGATGACCCGAGTGTCCTTCAGTGAGTGAAAGGTACCATAGGAAGCTCTACTCAGCAATACAAAGGAATGAACAATTGGTTATTTGTTTGGTTTTTCTGAGATAAGGTCTCAAACTATGTAACCCAGGCTGGCCTTGAACTCACAGTAATCCTGCCACCACCTCCCTAGTGCTAGGATTACAGTTCTCCACCATGTTTGGATTCTTCTCTTCCTTTTTTTTTTTTTTTTTGGTATTTTCCAGTACCAGGAATCGAACTCACAACCTTGCGCTTGCCAGGCAGGCACTGTGCCGCTGAGCTAAACCCCTAGCCCCTGTCTTCCTTTTTCGTAGCTAAAGGTATATTCAAATCTGCACTGCATCCACCCTTTTCTGCTTTTTTCCACAAAAGTAAGCATACACTGTTCCCCATCTTGCTCTTTCATTTAATGAGCCCCAGAGATGTTTCCAGGTCAGTTCCTAGAGTGGCCACATTCTTTGCTCCAAGGCCTCCCATTCCGTAATGTGGATGGACCAGTCTGTTCAGCCAGGATCTGGCTGTGTACATCTGAGATGAATTTCTTATAGGTTTAAGGAAACTACAGGTCTTGAGGCTGTGGATGCCAGCAGATGACCAGAGACAGAATCTATTCTCATCTGAGATCAGCTTGCGCTTGGTATCAACAGAAGCCTGGGACCCCTTCTTAGACCTACTTGGGGACGGTCTCCTCCTCCATCCTGTGGGATTGCAGAGATAAGGACAAAGCAAGCTGCCCATAAATGCAGGGTGGGAACACTAGGTCCCTGCTGCTCACGGCCTTGTAATCTTGTCCTTGTCATTCAGTCTAAGTCTCAGACACTAACAAATGAAGAGAAGGATGCCAGGTTTATCCCACAAGGGCTCAAAATGAAAGAATGTGCAGTCGGCCTCCATATCCAGCGCTTCTGAATCTGCAGCTTCTGGTTTTTCTCCGGTACCGGGAACCGAACTCACGACCTTGCGCTTGCCAGGCAGGCGCTTTGCCGCTGAGCTAAATCCCCAGCCCCTAAATCTGCAGCTTCTGAACGTACAGGCTGAATGAGGAATGAAAACACTCGGAGAAAGAAGTTGATTGTACTGAACATGTACAGGCTCTTCATCATTCCCTACAGAATACAACATAATGAAAATTTATATAGATTTCACATTGTATTAGGGAGTGTAAGTAATCTACAGATTACTTAAGATATGAGAAAATGTGCACGGGTTCTATGCAAATAAATACTCCGCCCTTTTACGGAGGGGAGAGGAGTCCCTTGGATTTTAATACTTGCAGGGGATCTTGGAGCCAACCCCCTGTAGATACAATGGGACAGCTATATATGAAGTCCTGGGAAAATCGTAAGTGGTTATACAAATGCAGGACGATGCCACTCAGTGATGTTTCTAAAAGCAAGGGGATTAGTGAGATTTAAAAAGAAATGGGACCAATGTGTGAAAGCACTGTTTCTAAGCAATCAGGACAAGCATCTCTTATGCTAGGGGGTATGACTATGTTTATAATCTGGGCAATGAAAGGACCAGTATCTAAAGTTCTTGGGCAGCCACCCTGGAGTTCGCTGATCCTATCTCCTGTGAGCCCACATGAATTCCTGGAGGGTCAAAGTCACTAGTCAAGGGCTCTGAGAGCTGAGAAGCTGCCCTGCACTTATTTGAAATTCAAAGCACCATCAGACTCCAGCCGCCTGCTTCTCACCCCGGCCCATAAGGACTGGTCACTCTCTCCCTACAGCAGAGCAATGCGTCCACCAGCTGTGACTCTGACTCCCTGGGAGAGGCTGTCCCTGCACCCAGCACCTTTCCTTGCCCTGGCTTTCTTTCTGCATGCATGTATCTCACCCTTGAAGGGACGCAGGAGCGCCGTGCTTCTGTCACCAGATGGAATCCGAGGAGGTCCCTCTTTAAAGAGGACCTGAACTTAGCCCAGGGAAGGACCTGACATCTTATCACAGAAAAGCATTTCCGGATGGGTCAGGGAGAGGTGTAGACTAGTTTATTAGGCAGAGTTACAGAGCAAGAAAAAATAGGGGAGTAACTTCAGCCTGAGGAGCTGAAGGGAGCACAGCTTTGAAGATCAGGTGGGTGCATTAACAAAGCAGGAGGCCAGTGTTTAAGCCATTGCTGAGTCGGCTAAGGGTTGGGTTGATCATTATCTCAGTTCTGGTTTTGCAGTGCGGTACTGAAGAAGCCTTTCTCGCCTGAGGAGGCAACCTGGTCTGTGTGAGATGACTGTTTCTGCTTGGAGAAGTCTCAGTTTTTCAGGGCCTCTGCTGGAGTCCAAGGTACCCGCAGGTTTCGGGCAATGACCAGAGACTTCCTGGCGCCCACTGGCAGTTGAATGTCCTGTAAATCTCTTATCTCGATGCTCTCAGTCTTGGAAGGTGATGGGACAGGTTATGTAAATGTAGGGCTAACCAGCCTTGTATTACCAGTCTTCGACAGACTTGCTCCCTAAATGATTTGATATGCCTTATGCAGAGCTGAGCAGGGATCTGACCCAAAGCGTACAAGACAGATACAAAGTGAAAGCAACGATACCAAGCTTTGTCCTGCATTCAGCTACCCACTGGGCATCAGTAAGCCTAAGTGAAGAGTCAGATTTTGGCAAAAGCAGCTTTTAAGTCCCTGACTACTTCACAAGAAAATACAAATCAAGCTTTTAATGAGTAACAGGTTAAGGCCTGACAGGTTGTTTGCCCTCTGTCCCTCTGTGATAATCCCTAACAGTTTTGTTTTCTCATCCAGTTTCTTCTTGGACAAGGGCATCCTGGCCTTAACGACGTACCTGCTTTTTGATGTTGATAAGACTGTTTGAGAGAACTGGGGTGGGGCGTAAAGGCAAGAATATATGCTATACTTTAAATGGGTAGCAGGTCCCAAGTTAAGGCCGGGGAGTGTTCCTGCCCTTTGTCCCCATGGCGTCCCTGACTGTCTCACTCCTACAAGATACAGGAAACCTGACCCTTTTCCTTCTGTGGTGTACTTGCCAAAACAGTGGAGTCATGATCCATGCACCAGACATCTGCTGGGCTGATGGAATACACTGAGATCTTGTCAATCACCCCACTGACTGCAGCAACGGAGGGAGATAACAATCTTCTGCCAGGTCCATGGGTCTGTTGAAGGAATGTGACCCTGGTACTGGCCAGGCCGGACTGGCTGAGCTACCAACGTCAGACGGGCACAAGCACTCCCTAGCACTCAAGAGGGGACTGCCGGAGCGAGCTGCAGTTCATCTCCAAGTTGGGATGGGAAAATTCTCTGGCAAGACAACAGAGGGCTCCCTGGAAGAGGCTCAGAAACACCCATGAGATCTTTGCTGTAAACAACATCTTTCTGGGTAAGGCTGTTTTCTGTGGCCGACCACTTAAACACTCTGCTTAATTACACATCTGCACCTGCCTCTGTCCTTTAACTGTGGGCCTGAGAAAAACTGAGGAGAGTACACCAAATTGTTATTTTTCTAAATAAAAATACGTGTGAGGTCAAGCCATATATAAAATGAAAAAAAATTCCCTTCTCTCCAGGAGCAAAACTGTCAGTACTTTGTTATATATTATTCAATAACTTTTCCAATCACATACAAGTATATATATCCTTTTCTAAATCTAAACTTCTCTTCCAAATGAACTAAGTTGTCTTAAGGGAATTATATATTATAAAAGTACTATAAAGAGAACACCTACCTCCAAATTAAAACTTTTCTTTAGTTTTTTTTTTTTGGATTTACATAAAACAAAGAACATACTCATATCAAGAACATATTGTAACACTGCGTAGGTCATAATTCAGTGGGTAGTAAGAACCTGTGAAGTTGTCTGGCCGAAGTGAGATTCTTCTGTTGGAAGGATTCTTACATTCTTTTCTCCTGGGTGGATCCTGAATTCCAGAAGAGAGGTTTCCTTCCTCATACAATGGGACATTGACGAGAGGTACAAAACGCTTACTGAGCTGCCAGGGCTGTTGTGAGGGGCTTGCAGAATGGCTTCTTTACAGCCCAGTGAGTTAATCTCATTCCTCCCTCCTCTGCCCACGCCTGCCTCCAGTTTAGATGTTCCAGGGGTAGCTCTCCCCAGAATGCCTACCCCTTTCTTTGATAGATGTAAGAAGTAAGACTGCAGAGCCCAGTGTGGAAGGATTCCTGGGCGGATCTGCTGAAGACAGCTGCGTTTAGAACAGTTTGGGATCAAAAGTGATCTCATGTCTGTGTGGCTTTCCATGGACTCTGAAGATCAGCTTCTCCCAATCCCGGTGCCCGCCTCCCTCTGTTCACTCCAGAGGTGCACTTGGCTGCACCGCGTGCCTTTTCCCGTGGGTCCCGGCCTCCAGGTTTTTGTGTTTTGATAGGCTTTTGGTTCACCCCTCACTAACAGGAATCAAAGCTGGTTACATCAGAGAACAGGGCCCCATGAAACGGGAAGCTAAGCCCTCCATACTGAAGCTGGTTGCTCCTTCTGAAGCGTTGGCAAGTCGTGCAACAAAGGGCTCTTGCTGAAGTGTAACTTTCAGCACTTATGTTGGGCACACCATTTTTAAAAGCCTAAAATGCCAGCATTTCTGCAGGCTTCTCTTTTAGCTTCCTCACTTTTCGGTAAGCCCTGACGGCCAAGACGGCCCCCAGAGCAAAGACCCCAACGCCCAGGGATGCAAAGATCCCCGCTGCTATATCACCCCCGTGGAAGCCACAGCTGAAGCCACGGTACCCTTTGCTCTGGTACAGCGCCTCCCTCTCTCGACACACAGGGGAGGCGTAGGCAGTGGAGAGGTGGTGGAAGAAGAAGTACATGGCTGGGATGTAGGCTCCAGCGATGACCACATCCAACAAACCCTCGGTCAGCAGCCACGGCGGACAGTGCCAAGGGACCCGCAGGACGCCCATGACAATAAGGAGGCAGGAGAAGGCCATGAGGGCTCCGCTGTAGGCCATCGCCGCAGTGACTATGGGCAGCTTCAGCTGGTAGAACTGGACATCCAGCTGCTTGGCTTTCTCCCCATCAGCTCCATCGAAGCCACTGTATGCCCCGCCATACTGGTAGTAGTAAATGCCCCCCAGGCTGGTGATGCCCGTGTAGCCCCCTGTGGAACTGTAAGACACAGAGTTGCAGGCCAGGATCAGCAAGTTCAGCAGAACCTTCAGCATCTGGCAGCAGGCTGCAAAGAGAAGGTGAGTTACCACCTCACGAGGTGCTGTTTGTCGCGCCTGACCAGGCAAGACCTTACCAGCAAACAGGCTGTTCCCTGCAAACAACGGGACGCCACTAAAGGGTCATGCTGCCCTCAGCAAACAGAACAGGTGGCCATAAAGAAAATTTAAGACTGGACATACAGTTTCCCCAGCGCCAGAAAGTCCAATATTATCTACACAACTGCACTGACTGTCCTTGGAACTTTGACCCCAAATATTCCATCTGGATTCCTTGGGATTATAAGCCTGTATCGGCTTCACTTCTCCTGCAGCCAGCTGCTGAGATCACCCATGATCTCAGCCTGTCTGGACCCAGACGAAATAAATCCAGCCTTTCGCTCACATAAAGCCTGTGCTTCCGGGTGGTTTCTAGTGCACCGTTGATAACATATTGCCACCAAAACCTGGGGTGGGGTAATTTCTCCTTGGAGGGTCTGACACCCTATCTCGAGCCTTCTTTCCACTGAAGCCTGGTGACACTGGTCCTGGACCTTGCTCCAGTGCTCCAGGCCGCTCCTGCCACTCCAAGTCACTTCAGATCTGGTAAGATCTCTGTCTCTGTCTCTCTCTCCCCGCTCTCTACGCCTTTAAGACTCCCTCATCCCCTGTCACTGCCACTGCAGCTGCTCCTCCGTTTGGTACCCTTAACACTCTCCGCACCTTTAAGACCTTCTCCCCCTCCACAGCTGTGGTTGCTCCCTAGTCCCCCTCTCTCCCCTCACCCCCTGGGACAAAGGGAGGCTCGCCCCACTTTCCATGCTTTTTAAATCCAGCGCTGGTCACAGGAAAACCCTCCCAGAAGAACTGTCTTCCCTTGGTGTTTGGCTAACTGCAGTGACAGCTGCCTTGGTCACTCACCCTTGTCTCTCCTACGGCTCTGGTCACAGCTGGAGGTGTCTGTTGCAGACCCTGGTGCTGCTTTTAGTTTGTCATGCCAGGCATAGCAACCGCGCTCGGCTCTCCATGGGGCACATTTCTTCTTCTACGCCTCCCTCCCCTCCTCTAGCCTGTCTCGTGAATGACCTGAAACCTCTTCTCCTTCACCCTGGTCCGAAGCCCAAACGTCTAACATTCTTCTGCAGCCCCACCTGGCTGGTGGTGCACAAACTGGATGACGGCTCATGCAGAAAATGGCACTTCTGATGTCTCTGTTCTCTGGGACTTAGACAGTCACTGCCGAAGGCTGAGCACATGGTCAGAGGCGCAGACATTCCTTACACTCCACAACATTCCCACTTTGTGCACCTCTAAGGGTTCCTCTCAAACCCTTCTTTCCCTCCCGGCTGCACCTCCTCCCCCGGATGCAGAGCCCTCTCTGACCACAGACCCAGCTGACCTCAGTCTCCCCTGGCAGCTCCCTGCACCTCCTGCAGTGGCGCAGGCACAGCCACTCCCCGCTCGGCCTCCTGCTGCTGCGGCTGCCCCCACAGAGCTTCCCACCACTGCGGCCACTCCCTCCCCTCCTGCACAGGCTCCTGCTGCAGTGACGGCACAGCTCTTCCCCTTCCCTCCCCGAGCCTCCTGCTGCGTCCAGTCAGTCCCGTCGGGCCCTCTGCTGCTCTCCCAGCCAAACTTTCTGTCTCTCCAACACTTCCCCCTTAACCTGACCCTGCCCTGTATGTCACCGTGAGACATTCCCCAAACCAAGCTGACCATAAGGAGATCAAGAGCAGCCCCCAACTAGCACACACCTCCAGGACCTTGCTTTAAACGCGGCCAGCATGGCCCCTGGACTAGGAAATGTCAGCAGCACGGGATCCCCCTAAGCAGTGTCCCTCCCGTGAGGGGCCCCCCTGGAAGCTGGCCTGCCCAACAGCCATCGCTTCGGCTGCTTCTGGTCACGACTCCTGACTGGCTCCTTCCCAGGCCTTTTTGGCTTGGCTGAAAGAATGAAGCTGCCCAAAAGCCTCAGAGGTCCCTGGACCACCTCAAATGCAGAACTTCAGGTAACTCTTACAGTGGAGGTCAGGTCCATCCTTTTTCACTATTCCCCCACACCTCTCCTCACAGCGTCTCTGTGCCTTCACCTGGATAGACCCTGACACTCCCCAGCCCCAGCAGTTAACCCGGACCGGACCGTCTTGCCGCAGGGCTTCCCGAACAGCCCCCACGACTTCAGGCAGGCCCTTGTGCACGATTTCCTTCCGCTTTACTCCCCTCCTCCACCTCATACAGTATGTAGATGACCTCCTTCTCTGCAGCCCATTAGAGATTATCTCCTGGTTCTGCAACACGCTGGAAAAGAAACACGAAACCCCGCTAACCCTCTGCCTTCCCCGGACACTCACTCTTATGAGGATCACCTGGTTAACAAGTTGGCCTTGATTACAGATTTAAACCCCTGGTCCCTGCAGTCTGAGCGGACTGGTCACCTATAGCACCCCAGCGGCTGCTCATCTGCAAGATCCCCTGCAGTGGGTACACCAATCCAGGACAAAACTGTGTCCTGTTGACAATTCGCCTGACCTTTTCTCCTCATAGAAATCACAAGAAATCTCTACTTCCCTCAGGTTGGACCCAAAGTCACTCCAGTCTCTAGCTCACAGAAAGCCTTTGTTTCCGGGTGGTTTCTAGAGCGCCACTGATAACACTGTGTTGTACCTGCAGACTCTTCCCCCTTGAGGTTAATCTTCCCCATGCAAACAAAGCACTGGCTCTTTATTCAGCCCTCTTGGGCAGCAAAAACTGCATAACTAGCGTCAAATCAGCCTGCCTCAGGAGAGGTCAGGAAGAGGGTGGGAGAAATCAGGCCAGTTAGAAAGAAAGGAATCCTACCTGGAAGGGCAGGAACAGTCCACACCCTCCAAGTGCTCAGAAGACTAAAAACCAATCTCTTTATATGCTTGATGGCTATTTGAATCACAAAACTTAAGAAATATGAAGTAGTAAAAGCAAGGAAATAACACATCAAAATGCTGACCTGAGGTGTAGTTCAGTGCCAGCGTCTGCTTAGCATGCGTGAGACCCTGCTTCTGGTCGCCAGCACCAAAAAAAAAGCTGACTGGTTTGAGTGTATTAGAAATAGAAAGATTAAGTTCTTTCAGCCCATAATGCTTACTGCATTAAAGAAGCATGTTTTTCTGTTTTCAACTTGAACTCAGTAAGTATGCCTTAAAGTTTAACTTTATTTTCTTCAGATTCCCTAACGATCATATCTGGGCCAGAGTACTTTCCCAGAACTGCATTATTTCAGGGGCCTTGGCTTCTTTCTCTTGGACAAGGAAAGTGGCCTGCTTTCCTTCAAATCAGCTTCCTACACAGTAAAACGTCTCACTGTCAACATAAGGCTTGATTAGTTCTGACAAACACCATGTAACCATAATAAAGATATAAAGCGTCTGAATTTCTCAGTTACAATTTGTGGTCAGTCCTCTACCTTCCTCCCCAGGAAACCTCTGATCAACTTTCGTTAGAAATGAGTTTTGCCTGGCAAGTGCAAGGTCCTGAGTTTGAGTCCCGGTACCAAAAAAAAAAAAAAAAAAAAAGAAATGAGTTTTGCCTCCTGTATCCCAGTCTTTTTTCTTTTGTGCAGCATAATAGGAAGGTGGAGCTTCAGAAAAGGACCGTGTATCTGCTGGAATGCTGCTGTCAGGCCAACCGGCCCCACCCGGATCTACCCATCAGCCTCCCCGACCTTCACAGTAACCAGACGTTCTGCCCACATCCTGTGGCCGGTGTCCTGTGGTACATCTCTGCACTCGCCAGCCGAAACGATACTCCCCTAAAACCACCTTTCCACACTGTCACTTTCCACCAAAGGCAAACAATGCCACTGTTTTCTTTAGTTACACCATTCACACTTACTGTAACAAATAGGAAAAAATGAAAAATATTTTGTGCTTTTCTATTACAGGTTCATAGTTTTTATTGTTTGCCTACTTTTAGGTAAGAACAGGGCCTTAGTCTACCTACTCTTAAGTCAGCTATTTTTTTCACTTAAAAATGTGAACACATTTTTCTATCTTAGTAAATATAAATCTGCTTCATAACTTTAAAGGCTTATAGATTGCCACAGTGATTATAGTCATTCCACTGTGAGGAACATTGAAGCTTCCCCAATGTACTACTTGCTATATGACACATTTTGCTTTCAGTAGAGGGGACTGAACTTAGCAAGAGCTACACTGAGTTACACATGCAGCCAGACTTCAAAAAAATTTTACTTTAAAACAGGGTATCACTACATTGCCCAGTCTGGCCTCAAACTTGGGTTCCTCCTGCCACAGCCTCCTGGATAGCTGGGATTACAGATATGCACTACCATTCCCAGGGAGAGAATGTCTTAGTAGGATATGGAAAGGACTACAGCCCTGTCACGGCCCTTCTTCCTCTTTTCATTTAGCAGAACCATAGGAGAATCAGCAGGCCTGTGGAGGCGGCCAAGGGTGCCCTTACCACGAAGACCTAGAGGCTCCCAGGGGAGCCTTCCCAGGCTGGGAAGGGATGTGCTTCTGAGCCAGAGCCTCTCTCCTAAGGCTCAGCAGCTCAGCTCTCTCCTCCCTCTGCCTCTGGCTCAGTTAATACTTGTAAAGTCAGCGGCACTCAAAGCCCTGACACAGTCTCAGTCCACGAGGTTCTGCATGAGGGTGCTATGGAGTGTTAAAGAGAGGGATTGAGAATATAAATTAGGAAAGGCCACAGGCAGCTTCCCACCCTGTACCTTTTCAGGGGTTCACAAGTAAATTTCCCCAGCAGTGGAGAGCCACTGTTTCTGCCCATTTGGCTGTGATACGCTGTGCCGGCAACTAACTCCTCCAGTGCCAGGACCCTCCCACTGCCCCTCTGAAACATAAACTCAGAACATGCTCAAGGCCTATATCTTACGGTTCTGAGTAACAGACCAGCACTACTGGCTAGAGAAAGTACAACTGTCTTGGACGAAAATTAAAACTTCTAGAGGACTGAACTCAGGGTCTTTACACTAAGTTACATCCCCAGCCCTTTTTAAAAATTTTAAATTTTAAGACAGGGCTTGTTACATTGCCCAGTTGGGCCTGAACTTGTGATCCTCCTGCCTCAGCCTCTTGAGTGCTGGGATTACAGGTGTGTGCCACCATGTCCAGCTGATAGTTAACTTTTATGCAGTCACTGGCCCAAAGGAATGGTGCCAACTGCCTATAGCCTGGGGCCACCAAAACAAACCTTTTCTCCTTACAGTTTGATTACCTCAGGTGTTACAGTGACAGCAAACATGGAACAGTTATTCTTGAGTACGTCTTATCAGAAGAGTCTATCACTATCATAGTGCCAGGAATATCATAAGGAGGAAGTTCGTATTATCAAAAGACAGCAAATACAGGAGCTGGGGTCATGGTAGGGAACTGATTAAAGGATATTTTGCCACTTTCATAGTAATTACGCTGTTGGACTTCGTTAATATCAATGTACTTGCAATGTCATGACCACCAGTTTTATATACCTTTGCACACAGTGTTGGTGAAGACTTGAGGTTTTATTATTTTTTTTTGAGCCAGGGTCTTACTGTGTTGTCCAGGCTAAGTTTGAACACACAGTTCCTCAGCCTTATCCTCCCAAGTATCAGGGATTATAAGCACACACTGTTGTGTCAGCTTGGCATCTTTTTAGTTTTTTTTTTTTTTGGTCCTGGAATCAAACTCAGGGTCTCGGCATCTTTTTAGTCTTATTTGACAGCAAGACCAGAGACTCACTAAAGAGAACATTTTTAGTTTTGCTAGTTAACATCCACTTTGGCTTGCATCTGGTTTTAGCACTGTAATTTTTTGGAGGGGCTGGGAAAATCTTTCCTTCCACTACTGTACAGTATTCTGTTTTGACCGTCAGTTAAGAGGACTCCCTAACTGAAGGGTATGATTTTCGGTTTAACAGTTGTGGTCCATTTTATGTTTCAACTTGACTGAGCCGTGGGGTACCCGGATACTTGGCCAACCACTGTTTTGTGTGTGTTTGTGAGAGTGTTGCTGGGTTAGTTTAAGAACTGAATTAGTTACTACTTACAATATTACGTAGTACAGTGAACTATTATTTGGTCCTAAAAACAAATGAGCCAGGGGGAAAAATGCAAAGGAAATTTAAACATATATTCTAAGCAAGAGAAACCAACCTGAAAAGGCAGCATAAGATCCGAGGGGAAAGATAAGCAGGTGGAACATTAAGGATTTTGGGGCAATGAAACTATTCTGTACTACACTCTCAGTGTGAAAACACATAGAACTATCCACGGTGAACCCTAGTGTAAACTGTGGACTTCGGGTGGTAATAATGTGTCAGCGCTGGTTCACTGATAATAACAAATGCATCGCAATGAATGGGGATGTTGGTGGTGTGCAATGCTGAGCCGGGCAGGGCATGGAAAATCTTCTAATTAGCATATAGTTTTTTGTCTGTGTTTTTTTTTTTTTTGAGACAGGGTCTCGCTATGCAGGTCAGGGCAGCCTTGAGCTCACTTTGTAGCCCAGGCTGGTCTAGAACACACAAAGATCCTTCTGCCTCAGCCTCCCAAGTGCTGGGATTATAGGAGTACACTACCATGCCCAGACTACATACAGTTTTTATGTGAACCTAAAGGGGCTCTAAAAATGAAGCCTATTAATTAAAAAAAAAAAAAAAAAAGAAAATTCAATTTTAATGATGCTTTGCAGTCAAAGCTGGCTGAATGCAAACCACCATGATTGAACACTGAAAGTCTAAGGCAAGAGGGAAAGGAACTGCTTCAAATTCGAACAGGGTTAAGGTAGGTGCCAGGAAAGGCACCTTCTTGCTAGGGAACTTGTAACTCCTCACCTGTGCCTCCAAATAATAAGTGAGCACAGTCTATATGTACAGCGGATTCCTGGTGGTCTGCTTTGTGCATGTGACATCTGTATTTACTCTCAATCTGATCTTTAGCCTCTATCCCTAAAGATTTCAGCATCTGACAATTCTTGCATGTAAAAACGAACTCGGGGCCCATCTCTTTCTGCTGGTCTCCTCAGTGTTCCCCTGAACTTTTTTATTTTCTTCTGACACAGGGTCTCACTATGTAGTTCAGGCTGGCCTTGAACTCACTATGTACCCAGGTTTGCCTTGAACTCATGGTGATCCTCCTGCGTCAGCCTCCCAAGTGCCACCATGCCTGGCTCTCCTGAACTTTCTAAGGGAGAATCACAGCCCAGACTTCAGGGTCTCCCTAGGAAGCTAGAGAGGGCCACAGCCACGTTCCACTTTTAGAAGTTTGCTCTGGGTGTGTGTGTGTGTGTGGGGGGTGATTTCACTTCATAGAAAAGAAGTAACCAATGATCCACTCTAAGGCAGGTCTAAAACACTTGGGTGACCTTTATCCAGGCATGTGTTTCCTGCTGCAGACAAGTTCCTGGTGTTGTGTTTATACCAGGCTCTGCACATTCAGGGCTCTTTATGAGCTCGAATTTGTCAGCTTCTGAGAGCTGAACCATCCTTTCACCACCTGGACTTAGAAACCCAACCTTCAGGCTCTAAACCAAACAGCCAGATGCAATTAAGGCTGGATTACAGTGTGTCTCAATCAGAGGCTCCAAGCCCTGCCCTCTTCTCTTTGTAAATCAATCACAGAGAGGAAAAAAAAAAAATAAAAGTCTCTCTAGGGACAAAGCCCGTTAGCCAGTTCTGGCCCTTTCCTGATATTTAAATCATCTGGGAGAAGAAAAGTCAAGCAACTAAACCCTGTGCGGCCTCAGAGTGTTTCAACTGCAGCTCTTCCCTTAACGTACTGGCCCTGACTGCAGAACTCACGGCACCTCTGTGAGCCTCGGGAGCTGCTGAAGTAAGGCGACGCGATCATGCCAATGCATACAAACTCGGTAACGATCCTATGCCTCCAGCACCTAGAGCCTTTTCAGCTAAGCTCCTTATGTTCTGTAATCATGTAAATCCTTGTACGCAGCCTAAAATACAGTTTCAGTTACGAGTTGCAGGACTTCTTCCCCTTAGGCTGGGGTGTTTTCTCCCTTAGGCATAGGCAGCCCAGGAAGATTTCTCACAAATCGCATGCGCCATTGGGGCTCACCCTGACAAACCAGATTTTCTTCATCGCTGGCAAGGCCAGGGCCTGTGCTAAGACGAGAACCCTGGGAAGCCACATTTGGAGGTGACACATATTATTCACATTTTTTTAAGGTTGTGGGTATACAATAAGTTTTTTGGTTGTTTGTTTTGATCTTTGTTTTTAATGCAACAGGAAACTGGGTGCGCTTAGTATATATACTAAGGTAAGTACAGTTTCATGACATTTTTGTTCCTGTGTGTGTCTGAACTTGGCCTTCATGTGAAATATTTATTTCTTCCTGGGCATCTCAGTCAATGAAATTTAAAAGTCACTGATCAAATGTCTATATTTATTCTTCACATAATAAAACTGAATTTTTAAGGCTTACCTAAAAAAAAAAGTCACTGATCAAGTGTTTGGACATCAGGTCTCCAAGGAGACCATCTGCTCCTGGTCGTGTGGCTTGTGCTGCGAACTGCCCGCCTACTGGGCGACTTTCCCTCTCCTCAAACTCAGCCAGCGGAGCCCCCCTGCCAGCAGCTGACCGCCCCGTTCTACTGCGGTCTGGAAGCCGCAAGGACAGCAGCCTGGTGCTGCAGGCCAAACAGCACAGGAAGCCTAGCAGCACTTTGCAGACCTCCCTCTTTTTTTTTGGAAGGTAAGAACCCCATGCAAATATAAAATAGAAATGCTAGGAACCCCCAAAAGTAAGTCTGCTTAATTTTGGTTCACCAACTCAGAATCTCCCCTCCCCCATTTTCTAGAACCACTTGCAATAGCAAACGATCCAACTGACTCCACCAAGGCTCACCTCTCCCAGTGCACAAGAATCTGCATTTGTGGCATTCCAGAAGTCCTTCAGCCTCGGACTGGTAATATTCCACCTCCTCTTGTCCAGGCCTGGGGTGTGAGGGCACATATCTCCCAGAAGTGGGTTCGCTATAACTGGAAAACACACATAGCCATTAGAAATGGGCTTCCCACTCAGTGGCTTGCTTAGTATTAGAACTTGGGACTCTAGCCGGGCGTGGTGGCACACACCTGTACTCCCAGCACTCTGGAGGCTGAGACAGGAGGATCGCTGCAGGTTCAAGACTAGCCTGGGCTACAAAATGAGCTCAAGGCCAGCCTGAACTGCATAGCAAGACCCTGTCTCAAAAAGAAAAAAAAAAAATTTAAAAAAAGAGCCTTGTGACTCTGATAGGCTGAAACATTGTAGAATGTGCAGAACAGACACAAATAGTGCCACAGAATTTTAGACTCTAGAGAATTCTCTGGGTTAGGGCCCCACAGGACATCCAGGCATGTGGCCCATCTCTGCTGAGTAACCCACGACAGAGCCTGTAATCCCATGTACCCGAGCACCACCACCTTTGATGCCACTTTGTTCACCTGCTTGCTAGGCCGACTAACCAAGTAGCTGTCTAACCGGGTAGCTGTGAACTACCTTCTTTGGGAGCTTAAATTTCCAGTTCAACATGGATCAGGCCTCTTCAAAACTCACTGTATTCAGGAGACCCTGACACTCATCTGGACTGGCATTCTCTTTTGTCCCTGACTGGAATTTCTCCAGGCATTTGGAAACTAGAGACAGCCTCTGAGACCTTCTGCTCATCTCTTCCTCTGCCATCCTGGGTACCTTGAGCTTCTTCTCTCCCCCTTTTATTTAGCATGTAGTGGTCTTTGTCCAGAATTCGATGGAAGGCTGAATTCTACTTGCTGGGCTTCAGGGATCTTTCTACAGCACAGAGGTCATCATGTCTGTCTTAGGTTTGAGATTCTTAAAACTTTTAACTCCTCAGAGGGAGCCCCTGTACATCTCCCTGCACTGATAACCTCCCATTCACAGACCCAGCTATGGCGAGTTTCCCTTTGCCCAAACTTGATGGGCTCTACCATGCTTTTGGGTCACTGCGGAGCTAGTGCTCCTCCTGGAACACCTTCATCTACCTCTTCCAGCCTTCCCTTCCTACTCCTTCTCCAGAGCTCACTTGAGCCTGGTCAGGAGTCCCTCCCCGTTCTTTGCAAGTTCCTCCTGCAGTGGCCCCAGCACACCATGCTGTAGCTGGCCCATTCTGTAGCTCCATCCCTGCATCCTGACCATTAAATAGATGCTGAAGTGCAGAAGAGTCAAAAATTGGTTACCTTTTGGTTTCAAGCGTCCAATCTGTTTCGAGCAAAAGAAGCAAAAAACAAAAAGTATTTCCTTCACTCACTGTGGGGTGGGGTGGAGTGGGGTGGGGGAACTGGGTCTCTCGTTTATAAGGAAACCTACAAATGCAGCTTTTGGTTTCCCGGCCATGCAGTTGCAGTATGATGTGGCTTCCGCCAGAACAGCAAGGGCCAGTGACATATCTGGCACAACCTTTGTCCTGCTAGTTGTCCTGCTAGTTTATCTAGTTGGTTTTAGATAATATAACATAAACTCAGGATAGTAGCTTTCCCACTACGTGGTCACAACTGGAAAAGACGGGGCTCAATCTCTCAGGTCCCACAGGAAGGCCAGGTGCCAAGGCAGAAGGCAGAAGGCAACCACGGCCCCAGAACCTGTCTCCTTGGTGGAGCGGGCAGGGGGACATCCCTTCTACTCAGTCTATGGGCCTGGCACCTAATCTGCCCACTTGGCAGCATTCGTGGAACTGGACTGAATGCTAGCTCCCTAGGAGGGGTGTGGGGAGCAGGCCACCCCGTCTCCCTTCTACACCCGCACTCACAAAGCCTTCCAGAACATCTGGGTGCTTTCTCCTCACAACGACTAAGGGATTGCTGTGTTCTTCAAGGCAGAGACAGTGAAGTTTGTTTATTCAGGAGGGCGAGATCTCAAACAGCCGTGGGATTTAAAAGAGGCTGCCGAGAAAGAGCTCCGCGACAAAGAGGAGACAGATCTACGCCTTCGGTGGGAGAAGTTAGTTCATCAGGTGAAAGTGTGGCTTCTCCCAGCTGTGTTTCTGAAATGCACACAGGCCCGGAAGGGCTAACACATCACTAACTCTTCCTGGGGCTGACTTCAGAACCCAGGACGAGGGTCTGCCGCCCCAAGGCACAGTCCTGCGACCACGCGGAGGGGCCAGGGAGGAGCCTCAGGTTAACGCCACCCACCTCACCCGCTCCCTCCTCGCCGGCGGCTGCCTCCTTCGCGGTCCCCAGACCCCGCACCCGCAGGAGGAGTGCTCTGCGCGCGGTCAGTCCGGTTCGGGCCGCCAGCTGGGGACACCCGGAGGTGTTCCCTCCCTGCTGGCTCGCCCCGCGAGCGCCCGAGCGAGAAGCCGCACTTCTTCCTTTAAAGCAGCTTCCCGCAGAGCGGCAGCGGCCCAGCGCGGCGCCCGCGCCCCTCCCCGCTCCGCACCCCTCAGCG